ATTCTGCATTATAGGACTAAATAGAATGAACCATAAACAAAGCAAATTAAGGTGCAATTTCTATGTCCAATCACTAGACAAAAAGATAGATCATTAACCAAATAAAGACCACCACAATTTATTCTCAGATATTTCATTATATCAATAACCTATTCTATTTCTAATATATAAATTTCTGTGATGAAAGAGAAAGTCACTTACCAAGAAAAAGGACACACGTGTTCTGTACAATATGCCAAAGACAAAAAAAAAAAACATTAGAAACAGGTCAGTTGCAGCTGTTGCCATAAATGTATCATAGATATGCTAATATTGTTTGTCCTTTCCAACTGTTGACCAATGAAAAAAATTGTTCTGTCGATAAAAGCGGTTGGTGTTCTCTTTTCTCACTGCATTATGCCATCTCTGTAGTACCCTCATCAGCTTGTCTGCTTAGTTCTGGTTGTATTTCACCAAATTTATGTACACCAATAAGTCATATTCACTGACCAATTCTTCCAATGTGCTGAGCCTCGTCTGAATTAGCATCTTACTTGAGGCCTTTGTATGTATTCTGGCCTTTCTGGTGATAGTGACAGTCCATTGACCCATCACCAGTACAGTGTCCAAGAGGACATTAGTGATGTGTAGACCTGGGTTGGGATGGATATCACTCATCACTATGGTAAACATTACCTGATGCTGATTGACTGTGCACCCACTCGATTCACAATCTGCATCAACAAGATTCGCTCAGCATCATCAACCATTTAAAGGCCCCATTTTTTTTAACAGGGTCCTTCTACTGAACTTCTCATTGGCAATGACACTGCTTTCCATATTAAGCCATTCAAAGAGTTTTTAGACAGGTGGGGAATCCACATCTGTTTCTGCTGTGCACACATCCCCCTCCAGTACCAGGATAATTGAATGTTGCCACTGAAGCATAAAGTGAATTGCTGCAAGGAAACAATGCTCAATGATGGAAGCCATATATTGGCACAACAAAGATGACGTGTCCCTTTCCACCGTGCCTGCAAAATAGGATTTACCATTATAGAGTCCAGGCATGAGCTATTGATAAAGCACCAGCAAAGCAAGAATGTGGAGAATTAACATATGGGTTAGGGGACCATATATGAGTATCCCCCACCCTCTCAAAACCCATATACAACTCAATATCAAGTAGGACATGTCACAGGGATTAGAAGTCTGCACATGATTTTTGTTGATGAGATGTTGCGCCATGTGAGGGATTTGTGCCCCTTGTCAGTTCAAACACCTCAACAAGTGATGTCGATAACGAGTCCTCTAACAATGAGGGAGTAATCAAAATAAGAGATGCCTTGAGTATGTCCTCAAAAGAAATCTATGCTCAGCCTAGTGGAAGTATGTCTCATGTCCCTTTAGGAGGCTATTCATCGGGTGAGGACACAGTAGTTGTTCCTTTGTGAAGAAGCACAAAGCTTAAGAGCCCCACACCTGGTTGTCACCAGTGTGATCATGAGATCAGGGGTGAGTGTGGTGAAAAGAAAGTCACTTACTGAGAAAAGTGGAACAGGTGTTCTGTATGATATGCTGAAGGCAAAATAATCAAATTAGAAACAAGTCAGTCACAGATGCTGCCATAAATGCATCTTGGATATGCTAATATTGTTTGTCATCTCCAACTGTCGACCAATGAAAAAATTGTTCTGTTAATAAAAGCAGTTGGTGTTTTTGAACTCGGAGTAGTTTATTTTTCCACCTTATCCATTGGCTTGTGAGTAACTGTTGCCTTGTGCATTGGCATTTTGACATTTGACCTGCAATCTGAGATTTTTACATTTCTTTCTGCCCCAGGTCTTTGAGTTTGGACTTGAAATTTGTTTTTCATTTTGTAATTGAGCTGCCATATCAGTTTTTGAACAATTTCTTTCTATGATAGAATGCTATTTACACTACATTATTTGGACTGTTGTCCTCATCTTCATTGTCATATTCATGTTTCAGCTATTGTATCCAAGGCCCAGTGGATAAAAGTGTTGATTGAAGTAATCCAAAAGGTGACTTCACCAAAGTTGTGAGTTCAATACCTAGCTACATTAGAGGTAAAAAAAAAAAACTTGTGAGTTGCTAACTTAACTGAAATTGAGATATCCAGAGAAGACATGGCATGTGGAACTAGAACAAACTACCACCATAGACTAAATAAAGGGTTCAGTTTGAAATTCCCACATATATCACCTGAAGAAAGCTGAACAGTACAATGGCTGAAACATTGTGAATATGACAACCAAGATGAGGACAACAGTCTGAATAATGTGAATAATGTAGTTACAATACCTCATTTCAGAAATAGACAGAAGATAGAATGCATATATAATTTTTTTTAAGTTTTTTTTTTATCTTTTCAACGTTTTATAGTATTCTACGACATGTGATCAGTAGTCAACTTAATCCCATCTGATTCTTTACTCTGTACTTTATTTCTTCTATAACTATCATATACAAATAGGTAAAAACCTATTTGCCAATCCCATTACACCTCCTTGACCCAAAGAGGTTTAATGCATTTCATTATTCTTGAACTTCTTCTACCACTTCTTTCCTTCTCTACCCCTTTAAGTTTATGTCCTGTTCTTTTTAATGGAGATCTTGGTCTCATCTCATCTCCTTCCATGTCTGAGTCAGTCATGCTATCATCCATAGGCTCATCTTTTATTACATTATTCTGATCTGAAGAAATCCTTTCTTCTTCACCAAAAGATCTTCTATCACAACATATCTCTTCCTCTTTCAGCTTTGAAACAATTACTCTCCTTGTTTCTTCTTATTCTCTCAGCAATCTTTGCTTAATATCGAATCATGTAGAGTTTCCAATGCCAATTTGTAGAGATAATATGGCAGTTTCAGTTGAATGTAATATTTCTTCATCCAGGATTTCCATTTTTTTTTCTTTTTGATCTTTATTAAATTGTAACCTTAACAGTGCATTGCTATTTGGTATTGTCTTTCCTTTTAAATACTTGATGTCAAAATCATATATTATTAATTTTATTGTCCATCTTAGAATTCTGGAATAGCTATCTCCATTCTAGGGTTAAATATATGTATAAGTTTATATTTTGATTTTTATAGGAACTGCTTTCCTAATAAAAATTGTTGAGCTCTGTCTGTGCTCCAGACAATGGCCAATACCTCTTTTCAATATTTGAATAATTTATTTCTGCTACTGTCAATTTGTCCTCTATAGTCAAATCTTGAGTTCCCAGTTTCTCAAATTCACAGAATCTGCTAGCTTCTCTTAAACTGTGAAAATATTGTGTAATCAGTTCATCCTATTTCTGTTTAATGGACAGAAATTTGGTTCTTTTCACTATGACAAGTTTCTTTTTAGGTCATAAATTTCTTTTTTATAATTTCTGAAATTTCAATGAAAGTCAGATCATTCGGTTGGTATATGACATAAAAAAGATTTTCATTATATCTTCACAACCTGCCGAAGCTAAGAAGAGGTCAGTTAGTTCATTTTCTCTTTCCTTACTGCCTTTCAATTTTTTTAACCCAAGCCTGAACTGCAAAACATCACATCCAAATCTCAACAAATTCTGGCTCATCTAAGAAACTTAAACCGTATATCAGTGATGCCATATTGTTGTATTGTGTTGTTCTACAACACCTGATCAGTAGTCAACTACTCTTGTCTGACTCTTGGTTCCATACTTTATTTCTCCAACATATGGAAACAGGTAATATCCTATTTGCCAATCCCATTACACAACATTTGCTGTATTTTTTTTTTGTGTATAATACAACCCTATGTTTTTTAAGCTAAAAACTTGATTTAAATTACATCTTTGAGTATATGAATCTGTAATACAGACATCCTTATGTAAAAAAAAAAAAAAAAATTTTTTTTTTTTTAAATTGTACCATATTATCCATTTAAATCTCAATGTTGTACATATATTTCACTAAAATATTTAATTTTTCAAAAGGTTAAAGAAGAGAAATGAACAGATGTTTAGCCTTTGCATGTTTCTTCTAATTTCCGTTTCAAAACTTATTTTTGAATATTCAGGGGAAAGGTGCTAACTTGACATACCTGGTAATACATTTTAAAATTGTTAATTAATCTATCATACTTTTCTGTTTGGTATGACTTTATTATAATTTTATATATTAATAAACTATGAAAATAAAAAATATTATCTTTCATGAAGAATGAAGAGAGAAAATTTTATAAAAACAAGAAAATCAAAATAAAAGTAAACTTTATTTTGTGAGCAAAACTGTTCTAATTTTAAACATTTTTAAAGTCGAAATTCCTCAAAAGATATTCAATTACACTGATTCCCAAAGGAAAAATACCATTTGTAAACAATTGTTACCAACACCTGCCTAACTTGTGTTTTATTGTCTATTGTGCTAACTGGGTATATTTGCAATCTTGCTTTTTTAAATAAGAGTTTTTTTTAAGTTGAGTAAAAATTTCTGAAGACATGTACTTGTGTATAATATGACCCCTCTTTTTTTTACCTTTAATCTTTGTTCAAAATTTCTCATTATGCACAAATAAAAAATTTAACTTCCGACCAAATCCTAAATTCTTGTGCCAAACATAAAAATGTAGTTAATAGGAATAAAATGAGGAAAAGTGATCTTGTGTTTCTCTTCTCCCTAAAGTTAAAATAGGCACAAATAAAGTATTGTGTTTTTTCTAGATAGTGACCTGCATTTCTGTTAAGGAGCTATAAATCTGTTCAACTTCTTTAATGGTCTAGTCATTTTTATAAGTGTTGGTAGTTTATAAAATCATATTCTTTCATCAAAATCCTCATTACTGGCTATTTTATTACTGTGTAGTTATAATCCAAATCTACACTTAAGGATTTATATACCAAAAAACTCAATGGATTAATGAAAATGGAAAATATTGAAAATTGACAAAAAACATTTTGAAATCTGAAAAGACACATCTTAGGATGAGTACCCTTTTTCCTTTCAAATTTTAACTGAAACATGTTTTCTCATTTCAGGTACAAGTGATGATCCTTGTGCACGTCTGGCTGACTTAAACATTAGCATTATTGAAATAGAACATTCTTTGGAGGTGAGTTTTGCTCAGTAGCTAAAAATGACTTCATTTTCTCATAATCTATTTGATCATATCCTTCTGCCTAGGATAAAAAAAAACAACTTTGACCCTCAAAGTTTACTATCATTGTGAACCTCTGGTTTACCCTTTAAAGCTCAAAGTGCCCAAATTCACCCACAAGTTTCACACACTTACAGACTCCAGGAGTGCTTGAATGCACCTGCAAACAAGTAGTGGCGTATTTCAATCGACAGTATTAACACCCATCACATGACTGGCTAGATGTGCCAGAAATGTACAACCTTTGTAAATTTACAACTTTGTAAAAGTCAGAGATCTCCAAGACCATATCTCATCACCAATAATACCAAGGAGGCTAAACTTGGTACCATTTGAAAGAGAAATCAATTTACTTTCATATAAAATCAACTTATAATACTTGATTTTCAACTATTTTTGAGATATATCAATTTAATTACACTAACATCACATATTCAGACTTTTCAATAATTCGGTCAGAACTCCACAAATTTAAAAATTAAAATCTCTTAAGAGCTAATAGGGTTAAACTGGTAGGGTTGGTAATATGCACTCCCACTGTAAAACTTTACTAGTTCAGGATTGAGGGCTATCCACATGTGTCTGATGTGAGAGTACCTGCAACAATCATGGTCAAGTCTCTGAAATCAAGCCATGATGGATTAATCAGACAAATACCTGGTTTTTGAAAACTGTTGTCTTTTCTTTCTTGTCTTATTTTGAAAGCCTTTATCTTCATTTACTTTCAGTCATGCATTTGCTTCTTGTAAAAGGTTGAAACAAACTTGGTTCTAACATTGTTATTGTTTTTCTTTGATTTTTGTTTTAAAATACAATTAGTGCTTATTTATTGTTTGATTAATTTTCAGAATTAGTCATCACATAATGTATTACTATTAACTATTTGTGAATTTTTCAACATTTTTCAGTGTACTGTTTGCTTGTCTGTGTTGCACATTCAATGGACACTTTCATTAATATACATTCATAGAAATTATAAAAGAGAAAAGATATGTACTTAACAATACTTAATCCAGTAGGTTATTAACATATGTTTTTGTAATGATAAAGTACAGTGATGTTTTGTTGATTGGTATTCAAATTTGCATGTCCTTCCAGTGCCAATTGTCTGTCTGAAGACAGTTATTCATTTTTGGCTAGCCACTTATCACAATATTTTCAATCAAAAATCTTCTGATCCTTAAAGAAGCTAGCATAAAGAATAAAGTTGTAGTTTCCAGTGAGACTTTAGTCCATGTTTCATATTCCAGAAATATGTCTTCCAGGGATAAGGACTTAATCTGTTTGTCCATGGAAGCTATAGTCACTTTCTTCATGCTTGGAATAAAGTTCCCTAATCTGTTTCTTTCCCCTCAAACAGCGTAGCATAAGTCAACCAATCCAACATATGTGTCTCCTGTTTGCTACCACAGTCACACTACTCTGTTACCTCATTGAGCACTTGAGTGAGAGGTCAAATTTGTATAGGTGCAAATAAGTCTTACAAAAGTATCCAACTTCAAGATGTATTGTTTCTTGAATGTGTGACTCATAAAGCCTCCATTTTCTTTTTGGGATACTTTACATGTGAGATGTGTCCAAATCCATTTTCTACTAGAATGTAAGCCATTTTTTTTGTTACACTCCTCCATGATCTCCAGATAATATACATGAATATAGATGAAGGCTGCTTTTGGCAATTACTTCTTCATAGACAAAGGGAGATATTTCTATCAGTATTGCACCCTCGCTTGTGTTCTCCTGGTCTCCCTCATTTCCAATATTGTCGTCCTTTGGGTCTGCATGTGAACTTTCTGACCCTGTTCTTAAGAACAATAGAGCCTCTGAGTCACTCTCAGATGATATACTATTTCTGTTGTCTTCTGAAGTAGAAGATTCATACCATGGTCACAGGTCTTTCACATGGCACGACATTCTGTTAACTGATACCATTTGGAGGCTAACTATCCCATCAACTCACCATTTACCAAATTTGCTAGTACATCTGCTGTGTGGGGCCTTGACCTAGACACTGTCTCCCACTTCATACTGATTATTTACACTGTTAGAAGGTAGTAGTAATGCATTTATGCATTTCACGCACCGATCATAATGGTAAATTCTGTTGGCTGGTTCAGTTGACAGTGTGGAGTCATCTTTCAGGGTCACATTGTACCAATACACAGCTTCCTGAAGAGAGCACCGTGTTCTGGCTGCAATTCTTTTAATGGTGCAGTGACATCACTCTGCTATATCATTACCTTCTGGGGCGTAGACACATGAGTATCGCACTCTCACTCCCTATTTTTCTACAAAGGCCCAAAAGTTTTGGCCACAAAACGTTGGGGCATTGTCCATCATTATCTTGACCATGTCTAACTGTCACCAATTGCTATCTAATTTAAGTCTCCCCTTTTGCCAGTAGACTGATGCTGGGTCTACCATCAGACAATCCTTACAATCTTGTATTGCCAACTTGTAGTCAAGCAGCACACTCTTCAGACAAAGTAGGCTGTACACCGAACATCAGGATATCCACTTTGATAGTGTATGGCATGTATCTGCTCAGGTGCCAATTGGTACATTAAAACAGCGCATGTGATCGGCAATAGGATGGTCACTTGTTTGATAGTGTCAAACCCCCTTTTTGTCACCTGAGTTACCCTATCCACTAGATTCTGCTCTGATGCAATCAAAATGATGTCATCAACCAAACTGTATTTGTCAATCAACTGTTTTAAAGTCCCCAACCTTTATTGTATTAACATCTTGCTTGGGGCTTTGATCCTACTCTGGATTTGCCCATCAAGGTGTCGGTCAATCACTGAGTCTGTAATGTGGTGCACCACATTAAATTGCCACTGCAATGCAAGGTTAAGACCTTTTAGCATGGCATCAAGTTTGGCCTGATTGATATGCTGAGCATTTGTTTGTGGATGAAGCCATCATGTGTCCTCCAGAATAGCACCATGTATTTCCAACACCATGCTCGTCGCCAGGGAGCTTGCATCTACCCATACATTATCCTCTTCTCCGGTTACACACCAGTCACCTCAGATGGGATCATCTTGGTGCACTTTGGTGATTACTTTCGCCATCATCTGCTTGAGAAGGATGTCATTCACTGTGTCATCCCATGCCTTTGTTACTGCAGTTGCTCACATCTTCATTACTCTAGTTGCTGCACAAAGCCACCAACAGACAAGAAAGTGTCCTACCAACTTCCTGCAAGACATTAAAGTACGTAATTATGGCAGGGAGTTCCAAAATTGCACATACCCTTGCTTCCATCGTAGAATATCATGCTCTCTCCGGGCTTAAAGGCCCAATACTAGAGCCCCATCTTTCAGGTGCTTGGAGTCCTTACTAATCAACCTGAAGGATTCTAATTTTTCCTTGACCTCATCTGCAGAAATTGTTTTCATTTACATATATAACATCAATATAAGATGAGGTGGCTCTCCTTGTCACTTCCTCTTGAGACAACATAGTCTTGATGATGGCTTTCATAATGAGAGGTGCCACATTGAAACCAAATCCTACACATATCAAGCAGTATGTTTTTCCTTTGATTATTACCATTTGAAATGACAACAGTGACTCATGGATGCGTATCTGGAGATACACCTTCCATAGATCAAGCAAGGCCACATTAACGCCTTGCTGGTGCCATTCCCGTAATTTGGCAGCACATATGTCTGCATTTGCAATGAAGGCATCAAGGCATAGTGGTTCAATTCTCAGTAATCCAAGATTGGGAACGCCTTGTCTTTATTGGACTGTGCAACAGCCATCAGAGGGTTCATAGCATCAGTCAACCAATCAAACACGTGTCTCCTGTTTGCTATCACACTACTCTGTTGCCTCGTCAAGCACTTTTTGTAGCTTGAGTAACAGGTCAAATTTGCATAGGTGCAAAAAAGAGTCTTGTGAAAGTATCTGACTCTGAGATCTATCATTTCTTAAATATATGTCTCATAATGCTACCATTTTCTTTTGGGATACTTTACATGCGAGACATGTCCAAATCCATTTTGTACCAGGAGGTAAGCTATTTTCTCTCATGTTACATAAGCCTAATATTTGGTAGCAGTAATATTGCTACTTCTCTCTTTGCTTACAACCTCATAATCATCGCAGCAAGTTCACATTACTTCAACAAGTTGACCTTAAATACAGAAATAAGATAAAGAAAACTATTAAAAATGTCATCAATTCATTTCCAATCATATAATTTAATACTCTAGCACCAAAAGTCAAGGGTTGAGGCCAAATATAGGGAAACTCTCTTTCATGAATTCCTATTTTGTTTTTTGTTTACTATTACTTTATAAGAAAAAAGGCTTGTATATGTGTGACTTTATAGAAAAATTTTTTTTTTTCTAAAGTTAAACAAAAATTGTTACAAGATATGCAAATGACATTTCAATTTATTAATAAATGTGTTGAATATGTTGTAAAAACCATTATGACTTGGCTTAAGTTCTTGTCATAAAACCTTTCCTTTCTAAGACTTCATATTCTCTTCTAGGTAAGTCATCCTGACCTAAACCTCTTTAATCCCAGAAATGTCCAGACATTCATAAAGATTGCCATCTCCATCATTATCAAAATTTGGTTAAGTGCTGTAATGAATGAAGTAGTGGAGCAAAACACCATGCTGGTTATTTTTGGATTTGTGTTTATCAGTCAACTTTGGCCTATCAGTCTGACCTCCTAATTTCTATGACTCCACTGATAGAACAACAGAGGAACAAAGTTTAAATTTAAAAAGTAACACAAAAAGGAGACAGACTGATTCCCAACTTTTGCTTCCATTGTCATAACTCCAAGTTACCTAGTTTCTGTTTGTTCTGAATGCAAAAATATCTAGTCCAGTCTTCAATGTCATATTCCAAAAAAATCCTTACAAGTTGATAAAAATGTTCTTGTTAATACAACACCTAACAACATGATGTTTTTGATACAGTTCCCTTTTGAAATTGTATCTTCTCTTATATTGCCACTTGCCAATGCACACTTCATACCTGCTGGGCATGGTATTGACATATAACTAACCTAATTAATTTGCTTTAATTAAAAATCATTCAGCAATAAACTCCATTTGCTTGACAGCATTTTATTAGATCTTTATGAAGATTGGAAAAATACAGTCAAATTCAAGATATTGATTGGAATAAAATCACTTTTGTTATTTGGATACCACACATTCTCAGAAATAACAGAGGAATGCTATGGATAGAATTTTAGTAAAATTAAAGATATTTATATAACAATGAGGCTCATTCTCTCTACAGTAATAGAATCTCAGTTCAACTGCTAAGCTATAACTGGATAGAGACAATTAAACATTTTAGCCCAGAAGTTAACAGTTGATTAATATTTAGGTTTATAGAATATTTTTTTATTACAACTCTAAGACAATAATGAAATGCATTGATAAATCATCTTCACTTTTAACAGTAAAAACAAAAAAATACTTAGTATAAAGGTATCAGAAAAATAATATTCTTTGAAATATTATCATAATTTAAATTTTTTTTTTTTTTTAATTTTTTATTTGGATTAATTCACTTTCTTAATATTTTTTAATCTATATATATCCAGTTGTCTTGTCCTGCCTAAATAAATCGTAGTGTTTGTGTTCACAATTTGTTATTGTTATAATGACAATGGTGGCCCCAGCAATGGTTAGTCTGTGTCTGTTGTGTGTTAATATGATAGAAGGGTATGGGTAGTTATAACAGATGAAGGTTAAGACACCTGAACATTGTATAAATTTCTCTTTTCTTGTGACAGGCTCAGACATTAATATGGAGCAGATTGAGTAAACACTGATGCCCTTTATCTGTCAAGGAATTGTTGCTTGACTAACTTTGATGAGTGTTTATTATTTCAGAAATGTCAATCTTCTCGTTCCAAACTGCTAAGTGAAATGGTGGGCGCCAATGATGAGAAACGGCAAAAACTGCAAGAAGAAGTAGAGAATGTCAATGCAGAGACAACAAGGCTTCAAGAGCAACACCAGAATCTCAAAGGTAAAAGAATCAATCATGTGGAAATTATGTTGGAATTGACAGATCAGAAGGGACCCATCATTTCATTGGATATGCTGTGTCTGAAAGGTGGGCGATGGGAGATAATGAAGGCTTTTACTTTTAGATGCTCTTGCAAAATACACCCACATGCCAGCTGCAAACATATGGGTATGAATGAAAGAGTTTGCAATTTAACTTTGGCATATTAAATGCTAGGAAATGGTTTCTAAATGTGTTTTTTATTTTATTTTACACTCATCTCCTTTAAGAGCCATGCAGTGTCACTTGATGCTGCAATGTCTTTTACTTCTGTTTTACTTCTTGAGATTGGGTGGGTGGATCACTCTAAGAATTCCTCATTAACAAAAATGAAAGTTTTTTTTTTTCCTCCTGTCTTTGATGGAAGACTATTAGAATTAAATACTGTTGATGAACTACTTACCAGACTCTGTGAAAATAGCTTTGGTATATTAATACCTTTGAAAGTACAGATGCAAGTGAACGTTGAGACAGTATATCTGCTGTTGCGTTCTTGTGATTTTCAGTTTTCCTCAGGAGGAAAATTTTCTTTCACGGTATTCAGTTCATGATAGCATTGTTAGACATGTATGAAGTTTAAGTCTTTAAAAAAAATAAAAATAAATTAGGTAACCAATCTTAATATTTTTATTATGTGAGGAGGAGCTTCAGTTGCTCAGAAGGATTAGTGGATCTACAGCTTTTCATCATCAAATGTGTATACATTGTATATAATGGAGACACTTCACCAAGAAGCAGTGATTAGTAAACTAGTTTTATAGATCAGTGTAGTAATTTCAGTTATCAGTATTTGCTACACATTTTATTTTCATCAATTCGAGAGATCAATATATGTATGTATATATGTACACAAACACACACATCTATCTGAATTTATAACAATAAAAAATTGACGACAATGCAAACATAACATAAACTCTGTGTTCAATGTAAAATACAGAACAATATTCAATATAAAAAAGATATTTTGTTTAAGTCTTATGGCCTGAAGATTGTGTCCAAGCATGAAGCAGACTGTCACTGCTTGGTGTGGATCTTGGTGACTATTCTTTTTTTTATATACACACACACAAATTAAGATGAAAAGTTCAAAGACATATCTCCTGATTTCAAGTTTTTCAAAAATTAATCAGCTCATTAGGGATATAGGAATTACAATTGAATTTATTAATACATATCATATATTATTTAAAAACCATACATGATAAAACATGAATTTTTCATGTCAACTTATTTTAAATTTGTTCTTTCTTAAGCACATTATTATATCATAAAATCTAATCTGAAATTGCTTAATCATGCATATGAGGTAATGTTTCCATTCTAGAAAAGAATTTGTAGAAAAAAAAATTCTTAAGTAAATGCATATAGTAAGTTATTGTAATTATACATTTCTGTATGTATGTATGTGTGTGTATGTATGTATGTATGTATGTATATATATATATATATATATATATATATATATATATATATATATATATATATATAGTGGATATTTTCTCATTGACAGTCATCAGACATGGATGAAAATGTCATTGTTATTATTGGATGTGTGTGTATTTTTGTGTTTTGCCTGTGTAGTAATCTATCAATCATTTTGCTGACTAGTTTTTCAAAGCAAAAATATAATTGGCTGTGTAATGTAATTGGAAGAATATGTTACTTGAGCTTGCAAAGGTTCATGAGGTGAATGTCTAGAAAAGATTAGGTGAGGATTTTCTAGCTTTTTTCATTTTGAGCAAATGGGGTCTACATTCACTCTGAACAAATTAAATTGTTCTGCCATACACAATAAGCTAAATGCTAATTTAAGAGCACACTGGATTTGTGTTCTATCATTGGATTCTTTTACTTTATTATTGTCTTTCCAGTCGACTTTATTTGAGAGCATATATGACATCCCCCTATGTTACATCGAATATTGCAGCATTATGAGTTTAAACTAGGCTCAAAAGTTCTCAACCTAACTCACTTTCCAAAATCAGTCTTTCAATGACAAACATCAGAATACTGATCTGGGGAATTGAGTCAGGCCAAGAGCTTTTTAGCACCTCCTTGTACAAGTATTGGCTGTGTGCAGTATCTGGATTAAGTTTTAACCTACCAAATACCTCAATTTCCTATATGAGATAATTTTAGAAGGGGCAAGTGAGGGGTCATACATACCATCTAATGTAGTAATTGTAGTTATAAAACTTGCTATTCAAACAATTTTAAAATAATGTTTTATAATTCAGCAGGGGGGAATATATATATATATATATGAGAATAATACAAATATAAAATTTGTCACTTAGCTGATTGATGCTATATTCAGCACCCCAGCTCTGAAATTGTCTTGAGCATTTTATTGCAAAGACTGCTTGTCTTAAATTCTTTTCTTTCAGACTTCCACTGTCTGGCAGTATTTCTGGCTTCACATCAGCTTTGTTATCACTACTACTATATATATATATATATATATATATATATATATATATATATATATATATATATATATATATAAAAGTGAACATAGAAGGCCTGACGATTGCATATAGCATGAAACAGGCTGTCGCCTCTAAGTGTTGACTTCTATGTTCACTTTTATATTTACACACGCCTATCTCTGATATTGAGCACTTTATTCTATAAATATAGCACACTTTAAGACTATATTTTTTATTTATATATATATATATATATATATATATATATATATATATATATATATATATATATATATAGTTTATGAAAAACTAGGTAATCCACATGGGTAAACCTAAGCAGGATAAAATCCAGAGAGCTCAATGTAAATCCAGAGCAAATAATTTAAATAAAAACAGACCACATGTTCCATGTAATAAATTATTTCACCACAGCCCTTTTAAAGGACTGCGGATCATCAGACTTTACTTCCAAACAAAAAATAAAAAACGGTTAACTTAATGGAAGTTATATATTGATATTGAAGGGGTAGAGAAGAAAAAACCCATAGAGAAAAAGAGAGAAGGAAGTTATGAGAGAAGGTGTCACTAATTTTCTTTGTAAGAAAAGCCTAGAAACAGACGCTATTATTTTGTTTTACTTTGAAAGTTATTTTGGGGGGTTCATAAAGATTATAATGTTTGATATAAATTTGAATGTCTCTAAACTGTCTACAAATAATTTAATTTGATGTTTGTTAGTGATTTAAATTTTTTTTTTAATTTTGGGGATTTTCTATGAAATAGTCGATTAGAAAAATATTCATAGAAAGTACATTAAAAGAATAAAATTTTATTATAAAATATATATGTGGTGCGATGGGTAAATTGTCATCATTTTTGCACATTGTTTTTGATTTTGTAAACTGCAGTGTATAGTAGGGTTAGTTGGGCACCATCTGTAAGCAAAAGACCACCATAATGCAATTCACTCCACAAGAAATTTGGAAATGGCATACTGTACTGCTTGGCATTCATGCCAGATGCTCCAATACAAAAATTTCAGTGTGTTTTGGTATCAAACTGAGGATATTGCAGATGATTTGAAAAGAGTTGGATGTGTCTAATGGTGATTACAAAGTTACAGCAGCTCAGAAAATTTACTCTGATCGTTCTGATAAGAAAGGAACTCAAGAATTTGTAGGTGAGGGCCTCAGACTCAACACGGAGACCTACATCAAGTGCCTTGAGAAGAGAGTGCTGCCCTGGATCAAGAGGGTGGCTGCTGGAAGCCCCTATATCTGGCAACAGAACTCTGCAACATGCCGCACACACAGTAGAACCCAGTCATGGCTGTCAGACAATTTCTATGACCACATCACCCATTACATCTGGCCACGTAACTCCCCAAAATACAACCCCCTTGATAATTATGTGTAGGGTGCAGTTGAGTGAGAGACCAACAAATCTCCTTGTAATACTGAAGATGAACCAAAGGCAAGAATTATGGCAGCATTCACCAACTTAAATAAGGAGACCGTCGACAAGATTTGCAAGAGATTCCAAAGTTGTCTGGAGGCTGTGATTGAAGTCAATGGCAATTTTATTCAATAAATTTATTCTGTAGTATTTAAAGATGTGTAATTTTGATAAATATATCTGTTAAGATAAGATGTCAGTATTATTTTCATTTATGTGTAATTTAGACGATAATTTATCCATCGTAGCCTGTATACATACATACATATGTGTGTGTGTGTTTGTCTCTGTTCATACTGATGCTGTTCTGAAAATGTGAATCAATGTTGAAATATAAAAAATAATATCTTACCTCTGGGTAATGAATTATGAAATGAATATCTACAGACTTGTCTTTCAATATTACTTTTATTTCATACTTTACATTTATAGATTTTGCATACAAAGTTAATATCTCTGATACTTATAGTTTGCATATTGTCAGTTCTGTATGTAAATATACTCACGTGGGTTCTGTTTAAATGTAATGTGTGATATCTTTGGTTGTCTTCTGGAGTTTGAGTTACTTATGTAGATTGTATATTTTATATGAAATGATGCTGTGACTTACACAATATTATCTAATTTTATTTGTCTTTTTTATGTACATCATTAGGTCTGTACCAAAATCAGTTGATCATATTGGTTTATGTAGCTGTGTATAGATTCATCTGGAGCCTCTAAATGGCTGAGTCATTTTTGCTGTTTATGATGTCTATAGGTGTTTCTTAGGAGGAGGAAGCTGTAAATGTCTTACACTTCATCTGTATGCTTTTTTTTTTTTTTTTTTTTGCAGTGTATGATTGATTTGTCTGTTTAAGATGTGTGCATGGCATAAAGAAAAACTACAACATCCACATTATTTTATTAATGTTTGAATTCAATATGTCATAAAACCATTAAATGAATCTATTCAACTTAAGGGTTAACAAAACCATTTTTTGAAAAATGCAAAATGAACAGAATTCTAAATAAATGCAAAGTAACCAAATACTTTTTTGTTATTTCACCCCAAGCAAATCAATGAAGACACAAGGAGTTTTACTGATTATGAGAGAAGAAGAAAAAAGAAAGCATTAAGGAGAAAAAACAATAAAAGAAGAGAAATTAAGAAGACAAAAGATAACAATTAACATTGCATTTACGTTTTTGAATATCAAAGTTAACAGGAAATCAAGAAGTTGGAAGAGAATTCCACAAGTGAAAAGTGCAAGAGAAGAAACTGTTAGTATAGAACTTATGGTTACATCTCTTGCCATTTCAACTGTAAAATGATGAGACCTTGCTACCAATCTAGTAGTGAATACTAATGAAGTCTATGTACCATAGAGGAAAGTTCATCAGAATAATTATCATGAAAATATTTGTAGAAAAGGCATAGGGAAGCTACATTACAGTGTTGGGAAAGTGAACTTCTTTTTCTCTGTGACATGTCCCTTCATCAGGATGTTGGCGATCATGCTTCTCCACAATTTCCTATCTTTTGTAGCTCTTAATAAATTTTGTCTTTTTATCACTTCTAATTTTTGTTCTACCATCCATTTACTGAAGCTCACTAGGAAGGTTAGGCATTGTTTTTCTGTTCCTCTTGCCTTTAATCTATTCCGTGAGTATCAAATTTTTCCAACCCTCTTTCCCATGTTAAGTATAAGTGTCCTTTTTATTCCCATTTTCTCTAAAACATTGCTGTTGCTTACATGTTTAGTCCATGGTATTCTCAGAATCCTTCTGGAGAACCACATTTCTATTGCTTCAAGTCTATAGATAACTATGATTACAAACTTGCTCTGTCTGATTAAGTTTGAAAGACTCTGTGATATTTATGTGGCACTCAGTTGTATCTGTTGTGTCTTGATTTGGTGACCATGAACCAACGTTGTCATCCTTTAAATTCAGATTATAAAAATAAACTCCATATCATCAACATACAAGGATACAATAATCACCATTGCTTTTTATATGTAGGTAAGTTCATCACCAAATGATGAAAAGAACAACATGATAAGACATTGTCTAGATGAAGACACCATTGTTACTATGTGAGAGGTATTTCTGTCACACACTGTACAACAAATATTTATTTTTCCAAATCATTTCTTTCATTGTCAATACACTTAATAGTAAATATTAATCATAGTGATCAAGCATTATACAGTGAATATTTCAGATAAAAATTAATAACTGTCAGGCTACACATTTATTGATCCAGCCTTGTATATCTTTCTATAAATGTACATGATTTCATTCTAAAATATGTACATTGACACTGTAACTTGCACAGGTTTCATCATAATTGCTGACTTTGCTTTGCTATCTCAAATCTGCATTTTATTTATTTTTATTAATATTTTAGAAAATACAAATTCTCATGTGAATGTAAACATAAAATTCGGTATTTTCTTGCCTCATCAACTTCTCCATCTAACCATGACAGCCTATAACCATATTTTTTTTTTATTAGCAGGAGACCTCATTAAAACATTTTTTTGTTTTCAATTTATTCGGTGGCTGAAATAATGTTGAAATGAAAACTAGTTAAAATAAAATGCTTATTGGGCAAAACAGAGACAGTAAAAAGATGCCTAGTTACAAATGTAGTTTTAATCAGTTTTTGTGGATTAAGATTTTCTTTGGATTCAATTAAAGGTAAAGGACACTTACATTATGTCACCTTCAATCCTCGTTTAAAATCTGTATTGATTGTATGTGTATACGTTGAGCTTTAAAATGGTAAATAAATTACATTTTGTTGAATTTGTTCAAATAAACTCCAGATTGGAATTATGCATTCATAATTATAATTGCTTATATAGCATAGAAATGTTTAACAAAGTTAAAATTTAAAAAAAGAAAAGAAAAAAAAGTCTGAGTTTCCACTTGCTGGTATTTTAAGCAGCTATAAAAATGTTTTATTTTTCCAACTGAACATTTATTAATGCTTCTCTGAGACAGGAAGAGTTATCTCCCTTATTTAAAACAAATTGAAAATAAAATGTCTTTACAGAATTAAATTAAAATTAATCCAAAACTGAAAAATGAGTCTACATGCGCGCGCGCACACACACACACACACAAAATGAAAAACAATTTCTGTAAATTTGTTATTGATATGAAAATTCATTCATCTTCAAAGAGAACTTGTAATGAGTACATTTTGTAATTTTCATAATAAAAATATAACCTTTCATTTGGCATATTCGTTAATATACAAAATGCCCTTCAATTCATTTGACAGCTTGTGTGTCATTCTTTGGGAAAAGTTTGGCTGATATTTTTTGGAAAAAGTCTATGTAGGTGAATAAATAAATCTGAAGGCTGACTGGCAATTATTAGCTAAATTTAGATCCGACATTTTTTTCACTGTATAATGTTCAATCTGTATAATTATTATTCACCACTGAATTAAGTGCATTGACAAGGAAGATTATGTTGAAAATATTTGTTGTGTAAATTAAATGTTTATTTTATCGTCCAACTGCAGACTATGCACACACACACACACACACACACACACACACACCATAAGGTATATCTGCTGTATAATACAGTGATATTTTTAGACAAGTTTTTTTTTTTTTACTTTTGTAATTCCACTTCTTTTTTATTCCCATAAAAAAGAATTCTGAATTTAGTATTCATTTTATTTTTACAAAAATTTGGAATTTTCACTTTTTCAGAAATAAGTCACTTTCATTGTCATCTCCATTTTTCTTCATTTTGACTGTCGATATTTCCTCCTTTCTTGGCCTTGTTTGAAGTGATAAAAGAATGTTGTGACTATCTAAATTAAATTGAGCATCTATGCCTATCAAATTTCAGATTATCCTTGGCCAATGTCTAACATCAGTTACTTTTCCTCTGGTTGGCTGAAGAGTCACCATAATTCACAACATAATTCTTTGTATTATATAACCATTTTACAGGTATTCATTAAGCTTAGTTTAATTTGGCACAAGAACACAACTCCCAGTGAAGATCTAACTCCTTAAACAGGCTTACATCCACATCACATTAAATCACCAATTCCCATATGATCACTGAAGTTAAGCAACATTGGTCCTGGTCAGTACCTAGATGGATGACTGCTTGGGAATAACTGATGCTGTATGTTTGGATGTGTGGGTGGTGTAATGGATAATAGCTTCTGAATTCTTAATTGGAGAGCTGAGTTCTAATTCCAGTTGAGTTCATTATATTCTCTTATGCACAAAAAGCCTTGGGAAAGGTATGAATCCACCTCTTCCTCCCCTAGCTATGGATTAATTAGTAAATCTTGTATCACTAAATCATAATTATCTCAAAAAAAACAATTCTTACAATCTAAAAATATTTTATAGCTTTAAATAACCTGCAAAGGATTGATAAGCTGTTGAAAATGAATGAATGAATCAATCAAACTAACTCATTAAGTAATAGTAATAGTTTGTTAGACTAGTTTTACGACAGACTGAGCCCTTTAGCCTTTGGTAATGATCACTCTCAGAAAAAAAAAACTCTAAATTAATTAAAACTAGCTGAGCAAGAGGTTAATAATTCTGCCCTATAAAACCTACTTGCTAATGATACCAAAGTAATTCTACCTTTTGCAATCCTATTCTCCATGGAAATTTCACAGCTTTCAAGAGAGCCATACTAGTTTACTATCTAGTGTTTTACAGCAATGTTCATAATAATTTAATAGCTATTTGTTTTTCTGAGTGTGTCCTTAAATTTGCTGAATCACCCAATGAGGAATTGAATCCTGTATAATGCATGTGACCATTACATGAATATTTCCTTATTATAAATTTCTTTTTTCTCTTTAGAAAAAAGAAACTCTTCCATTGAAACAATTAAACAAGTTTTGACAGAATTGCCTCATTAGTAAATATGAATCTCAATAATTTTGAAACATTATGAAGAACTCTTCTGCAGAGAAAATCAAATTGCTCCACAGATTGTATTTTTGGGATGAAGTCAAAGTATATGTATGTTGTCCTTTTCTACAGCCCAACTCAGGCAGCTGCGAGGGGAGGAACCTGTGGTAGAGAAAGTGCAAGATGAGATAGAAGCAAAGAAGCACAAAGAACAAGAGGAGAAGAAAAAAGCTCAGGAGAAAAAGCGAATGCAAGAAATCCGACAGAAGATGAAAGAAAAAAGAGAAAATGTCATCCAGGAATTGTTGGGTACTGAACATGATTTCCATTATGATCTACAATTGTGCATTGGATACTTCCTCAGTCCGTCAGTTGAGAAGGTAATCTGCTATTTTTGATTTTCATTTTATCCACTCTTTCTCAGATAAATTGGAATAAATTCCACATGGTCAGTTGATTTTCAAGAAATTTCTGTATTTACTTTGTGCTTAATCATGATCGTTTTTCCTTCCTCTATTGAGTGATCTCTTCTTATATGGTAAGAGGAATACAACAAATATATTTATACATTTATTATTACACACAAACACACACTAATTATTAATATGCAGTTCAAACCAATCCTTGTACCATATTTCTTAAAAAGATCTCTTTATTTTTTTATATTTTCACCCCTCTACCTTTTTATTATTATATCTGATTATAAAGAATCCTATCAAAAGTATATAAAAAAAAAAACAAAAAACAGCCATACCTATACCTAAATAAATTTATAAAGAAAAAAAATCATTCCAGTGTTTAATCACTTAGAGAAAATGTCATCCAGGAATTGTTAGTTATAGCTATCATTTGGATATGGTGTAATATTCATGCTAAGATTTCACAGTTTCCAAAATCAAAATTGTCTCATCCCAATGTCTTGTTTATTTACAATACCATGGATTGGTAATGTTGGTATATTTTCTAAACAAATTTCTGCCAGCATTATTAATTGCTCTTTTGCTACCAATTCATATATTGTTTTTTCTTCTCACCCAATGTTAAAATTCTTTTATAAAGATGGCCTACCTATCTATGAAACTGGTTCTGTTATTTATCAATTTAAGTGTCAGTGTGATGCTGACTACATAGATGGGACCACCCAGCTTTTAGAGAATTTCTCAATATGTATCAGCATGCATTAGGAATGGTTGACCTCCAAATTTGTGTATTCTCATTAATAATCAGAAAACACATCAGCCTTTCATGAGGACATGCTTTCTAACTTACATTTGAAATTCTTGGGAAAATTTTTATTAAATTGAGACCCCCTTTTTTGTGTAAATAAAAAGAAATTGTTGTTGGGTTTCATTGTGATCTGTTTATAACATAAATATACATATGTTGATAGTTTATTAATATATGTGTATTTCTTATCCTCCTTTACCAACACATTTTCTTTTAGTTGTTGTTAACAGTATTTTATTTCTTCAATCAATCTCTGATTAGAGAGCAATCTAAACCAGTCAGTTGTTTCTAATTATGTTTTTCTCTCTTTCAAATTGCCACCAACAGTAATTGTATTGTTGTTCTAATTTTTTTTTTCTTTTAATATCTCTCTTTTAATAGCATTGATTCAATCAGTAAGAGTTTATTCTGCTTCGTGGAGCATAAAAGCTGCCAAATTCAATTCTCAGCATAAAAGTTAAATATTCAATTCTACCACAAATATGTATTAAAAATATATCTTTTATATATATATATATATATATATATAGTCATTGTGTCTACTTAAACACATTTTCGGTCCTTCAGTATCAAATTAATAAGTAAAAACTTACCCAATAACTTATGTGCACATGTAAATAAACACTTATAAAGTCTTTTATCATTACTAAAAATTCTAGATGTAGTTTCTTGATTCAAGTGAATTGATAAAAGACTTTCCTGAATAAAATGTGAATTAAACCAAATGTGTTTGACAGATTTAAGTCCCAATATCAATCTCAGAGATATTTACAACAATATTCAGAAAGATTATCACTTGTATAAATTTTGTCTTTAAAATATAAGAGAGAGAGAGAATTTAATTCTGATATTTTCTTTCTGTTTTCTTTCTCTTCTAGATACCAGGTGTTGATCTGGAGGTAATGTTTGGCAATATTGAAGAAATTTGTGAAATTTCTTCAAAGCTTCTTCGCAGTATGGAATTAGCAGCCAAATCTGATTTTGACAATCAACTTCTAGGTAATGTATCCACTTTCTTAATCTACTTTATATCTTTTGATAATAATAAAAATAAATCTAGAAAGGATAAAGAAGAAATTTATTTTTTTTTATATTTGTCATTAGATATTTTGCAAGCATAAAATGAAACTGATCATAATGAGTATCAGACATACTGTTCATTACCTAGATGCCCACTTATAGACCAAAATGATTCATTAAAGAATCAGAGGCATTACCAAACAGATAATGCAAATAACTGTACAGGCAATAATTTTCTAATGTTTCAATTTATAATGGAGTAGACCAAAATATGTGTTAATGAATGTTACATCATAAATGACATAAAAAGAGATGACAGAAAAATGTATTGGAGATTTATTTTTAAATATTTTCTACTTTTCAAAATTTTGCTTTATGCCATCTTTTTTATTTTTTTATAAAATATTGAAAATGGCATTCAATGTTTGGCAACAAGTTGTTATAGAGGCATCCTTCACTTTTCTCTTATATCATTCTTGCTATTATAATAGTGTTATCAGGTTATTTTGGGAGTCGGCAGCACTCAAAATTTTCCCCTATAAATGAATAATAATGACTTTTTCAGTGAATGTTATTTTGGTTTACAAAAGGTTTTAGTAGAAACACTCTTCTGACAGCAGAGGAAACCTGTATTTGAACTTACTGTACACTATTTACATTATTTGGACTATTGTCCTCATTTTTTTTTTTTTTACAACATTTTGGCCGTTTTATGCTCCGGCCTTCTTCAGATGGTTGGAATGTCGAACTGAACCCTTTATTTCACTCACTGGGATAGACTGTTCTAGTTCCACGTGCCCTGTTAATGGTTGTCATTTATCAGTTATCACCTGTTAATTCCCCTCTCCAAGTTCTCCACTGCCTTAACCAGGTATTGAACTCACATTCTTTGGGTCCTCTCACTGGATCTAACTAACGCCTTTATCCACTGTGCCATGTGTCCTTGAGGACATCTGCGTATGAATTTCTGGGTATTATACACCTAATGTGTTCAGTTCGACATTCAACCACCTGAAGAAGGCCGGAGCATACAACAACCAAAATGTTGTAAAAATATGGCGATAAAGATGAGGACAATAGTCTGAATAATGTAAATAGTGTAAATAATACCTCATCTCAGAAATATAGACAGATATTGAACTTACTGCATATGCAATTAATATTTGTTATTTGGTGAACAGTTTGTGACTATTAACACTTTTATGAAGAAACAGTTCTCTGTTGTAAATCACATATCACGTGACTTAGAAATTGGTGAAGAAATAAAGCTCTTTGGGCAAAAGGCATTTGGTTAAATTATACTTCATGTAATTTTTGTAATGTTTTCTCTTTGGGTGTATTCATGAAGAGATTTACAAGAAAATACAGATTTTTGTTCTGTCCACAGGTCTATAAGGTTCGTCTTACTCTTAGCGTTTGTTAATTAAGTAATTAAAAAAGCTGGTCTTAAATTTCATATGGATATATCTTTAATTGTAGGTCCATGTTTTGTTCATTTGGCTGAGGAAATGAAACAAGCTTATGGTCCTTACTGCAAGAACCATGATGATGTGATTATGTTGTTGGAGAAGGTAACAGGATTTATTTTTTTATCTTTTTATATAAATTTCCTGTAGAAGCTGCTCTTGATATTAATTTTTCATAAAACCAAATGAAATATTGTACCTAATATTTGATAATCTAAAGCCTTAAAGTTAAATCCTTCTGAATACATGGATGTTTTTTGATCACCAAATGTAAGTAGCATCATGCCTGGTCAGTAATTACATGTGAGATTGTTTAGGAACACCAGCTATTGTAAACAATAGGGGGAATAAACCCTCAATGAAAATCTGACTTTTGGAATGCAGGGAGCTGGTAAAAGATGGTGGTTCATTCAAGATTGTTGTTTTGAATCATATCTTATGCCTGCTTGGCAGAGGAACATCACTGGAACAATGGCAAGGAGATACCATCTGAAAAAAAAAATGAGACACTACAACTTCCATTTGCTACTGGTAATTCTGCCAAGTTCACTTGGATTGCGTTAAATACATTATAATCACTGACTGGGATAATTCAGCATAATGTATGCTGGAGGATTATTCTAGGGGGAAGATTTTAAAACTTGTAAATTCTAAATAATACATTATTTGAAACAATGGAAATGGCCTTTTTAAAATCAGATTTTCTCTTTTTGTTAATGGTTTTTTTTTGTTTTTTTTATTCATTTTAATTTTTTCAGTATGAAGACAATCCCCAAATCAAAGAATATTTTGAACAAAGATTACAATGCATGCGCCAGTTGACAAACGTGTTTGACCTTGGTTCCATCTTAATCAAACCTATCCAGAGAATATTAAAGTATCCTCTCTTACTCAGCGAACTGCTCAAAGGTAAATCAATCTTTTTTTTTGCAGCAGAAACATTTTACTATATATATATATATATATATATATATATATAAAAAGTGTAAAATTTCTGCTGTAGATTTGCACATTTTTTCTCTCTCTCTAAAATCCAATCTAAATCCCCTTTATGCACTGAAACTTCATTTCTTATTTTCCTGTGTTGCATATAGATGAATCACAAGACAAATTGAAGTCCAAATTTGATAGCTTTTTGTTTAAAAAAATAAAAAAGATTACTTAAATGCAGTTTTATACACCCCCACTCCCACTTTTCTTTTGATCTCTAGAATTGATACTTCAATGTTTGAATTTTTTACATGACAGTAAAACTGTTAATATACCTGTTTGGATATGAAATATTTTACAAGTATTATTAAGTTATTCAACATGAAATTGCTATTTCTTTTTAACTTTATATTTTGACCTATTTTTTTCTATGTGCCTTATGGATTGATTGCAATTGTATAATAGATGTCGGTGTGGAAAGTAGAATCAGCAAAATGAGTTCAAATTCCAGGCTAGGCGATTGCATTCACTTTCACACAAATGCCTTTAGGGAAACCATCTCCCCCTCTCTCCAGCTACAAGCTAAATAACTGGGTATTTTGTGCTTTCCAGTCTAAGAGAAGGAAAACTCTAAATTAAAAATAGTAGAGAAGGCAATAGGAAACTACTCCACTATCTTTTTTAGGAAAATATGGAAAAACGTTCAGTTTATTTCCACATTGTATATTTGTTCAATCTTTCTCATAGAATATCTGAATCCATGGGGGCTAAAATTACACATTTAGGAACAATATTCTTACTCAATGGACAGTAAGATTTTGGTTTTAAAAAATTTGTAAATGGAGATTTTAGCTTAGAAAACCAAGAGAGAAGTCGGACGAAATTATCAATGAAAGAAAATGATGCTGATCATTGGGAAACAACCACCAATGAACAACTTGATAAATACAAATAAAAAAATAGAAAAATCAAGCAAATGGTGACGTGCCTTGATTTTTTTCATGATAAAGAATTTGATCTGTTTTTGCTTTAAATTCTAATTAATGGCAAAAAAATAGATTTTGTATACCAACATTGCAAAGTTATATTCAAGATCTGCACAATGGCTGGATGTGTGATGAGAGATTGAGATATCAATCAAGTCCATGTTACTATCCTTAATAATATGAAGACATATATAGACTCGCATAAAATAGTGTATTCAGAACTCAATCCCATCACTAATGAATAGAATGGCACTATCATTTTGCTGTATGGTCATGCTAATGTTCATTGTGCAAAAATGATCTGACTAAATTTAAATCAACTCAACATATGAATTTTATTGCTTCCTGCCTATTTACCCAATCTCTTTCCTATAGATTACCACTTATTTCTTTTCAAGCCTCAAGATCTCTTCTCTTAACGGCAAGAACTTCTTTCATCAAAATCATGTTAAAGGAGCTTTCAATAAATTTCAGCAAATCTACAATTTCATGCTGAACTAACACATTGGGCCTTGAAGAGTGAATTGTTTTGCTTTGAATTTATAAGATTTTTTATTCAGATTATAATTCCGTCTGAGTTTTACAAATATAAATAACAATTTTCATTTGTTTCCATTTAAATATTTTTGTAGACAACAGATGATGAACATCCTGACAAGAAAGAAATTCAAATTGCTATTGATTCCATGACAGATGTTGCGAAATCAATTAATGAATACAAAAGGAGGAAAGATCTAGGTAGGTGAAATGGCTGTTTCAAATCAAAAAATGATTTGTTTATGTCTGAATTTCTGGGATGATACATTATCATCATTTACAGTTGAACTAACATCCTCATCACTTTTGTCATTACAACAACCAAAAGAGTGTGATAATCACAGAAAAAATGATTTATATTTTTATAGAAAAAAATAATTTCATATTAGTCTCAGATAATTAGAAATTTAATCTTTTTTTTTTCTTTTTTACTAAAATTCCACATACTATTTTTCAAGTAGTGTTAATGTATATTGTGTGTTTATTTTTAAGTTGATTTTTGGTTTGATAAAATGAGACAAATCAGAAAAATGCAATAGTCCTCATAGGTAATTGGTGTTCTGTAATTTATACACTTTACAAATACACATGATAAATCTAATATCATGAAGAAAAGGATACAAATAACTTCATTAGAAATATGTTAATTTTTTATTTAATAAATTAATTTTCAGTTGTCGCTTGTCTCATCTTACAGAATGTAATAATTTTTTTAACTTTCTCAGACATGTGAATTGATTTTCTTTTTCAATATTTGACTTTCTACTCAAAATACAAAGGAAGCTGTTTATTGTGATCAATTTGGAACATGATTTCTTTTTATAACAATAACCAGTTGGTAGCATTAATTAATACCAAATTTATTGATTTAAAATTAACATTTAGTTTTAAATAAATTGTTTGGGACTGAAATATTTTGATAATATCTGGGATTATAATAAATAATTTTAATAACAATGACCATTTGATAATATCATCTGGGATTATAATAAATGGCTTTCTCTATATTTATAGTCTTTCATTTCTGTTCCATGATTTAAGTATAAAAGTTTTCTGTTTTGCCAAGATATAAGTATCTGATTGAATAAAATGTTGAAAGAATCCTTTTGATTTTTATTAATAAGATATGAGATGTACAGGACAAATAAAAAGAAATTGACAAGTTTTATGATATCAAATGATCCCATTTTAATTTGCAATTATTGACAGCACTGATAATTTTTTGTATTTTAACAGTTTTCAAATATAAAAAGGACAGTGATGAGACAATTGGAGAGAAATTTGCTAAGCTCAATTTCCATTCAATCAAAAAGAAATCAACCCGCATGAAGGGTCGCCTCTCCAATAACTTGGGCATCAGTCTACAAGTGAGTACATAACAGATTATGGATCTCCTCTATTTGATAACATTGCAATCATTTTGATCACTATTACAAATTGACATTGAAAATTATCTGTTCCCTCTCTCTCTGCTCTTTTAGAACATGATTGATTAAGGCTCTTCACAACTACCCCATCTTTTGTTTCTCTCAGAAATACTTACTCTTTTATAACCCTTCTTTCTCTATGTAGTACATGCTCCTCCATTTATTTGCACAAAATTATCAAATAGCTTATTCACTACCCTCCACTGTTTCTCTTGCTTTCAGTGTATCTGTAAGTGTTAAATTCTCCAAGCCCTCCTTCCTCATTTTTGTCCCCCAAATTCCAGCTGCTTCTTTTTTATTGTTAACAATTTCTTTATAGTTCCTATTCTCTTTGGAACTTCTTCATTTGTCGCATGCCTGATCCATGATATTCTCAATATTCATCTGTAGAACCATATCTTGGTTGATTTATTAGTGTTTAAAATGTCCAGCATTCACTGTAGAATTTAGAAGAGGAGACATCACATTGGAGACCAGCACTATACTCTTCATTTCTAATCTTATTTTTTGATCCCTTAGTTAAACTTTTACCTGATAATTTATAATAACCAATTTACTCAAATATATTGCTATTACTGTGTATTATATTGTATAGATTAAAAGGGCTCATTTTTATTAAATTGCCATAAGAGTGTAGAGAGTAATTTTAGCTACTCAAAGCAAGTAAGTCTTATTAAATGTTTCAGCTTAACAATATTCCCTGTTTGTTATAAATAAAATCAAAAGGTTTTATTAGTTTTCCTATGATCAACTCCCCAAAATGATATCATTGTGAATTGAATTAATTGCTAATTTCCTATTGTGTGGAGTTTTGGCCTAAAATAAGCTTCATGAAAATTTTCATAGATCCATAAAAAATCCCTTACCTTAAAATTCATAAACATTTTTCAGCTGAAAGCACAATTTTAAATAGTTTTTTTAATTTTTTTTTTATATAAATTATATTTTAAACCCTGATTCTCTTGAAGTTTTTTTTCTTGTATTGCTTTTACTGTACTCAATCCATTCATTAATAGACATTGATTATTGTCTTATATTCTTTTGTTTATCTTTGTCTAATATGAGAGGGTTTAATGAAATCCAGCAAGACCTGGGGAAATTGTCAAATTAGTGCATTTTTTGATGTTCAGTGAAGAAGTAAGAATCTCTTCTTCATCCATGAAGATGTTTAGAGATCTTAAGAAGATTCTCCATCCATCTTCAGGATAACCTTCAAGAATTTCCGATCCATCATATGAGCTTCCTGCACTTCCTCTCGAGTTTTACCATGAGTAGGTATTACATGAATTGTCACTATCAATCACTAGGCAAACCGTTCCTTTTGCCTATTGCTATTTCTGTAGTAAAATAGGACCAAGGAATTCCAACCTACCTGTGGCTAAGAGGCTATGTCTCACCTGCTCAGTCAGAGCCACCATTTGCAATTTAGGTAAAGTGCATGCATGGTTCTAGTGCTATTAAAACTATCACTAGTTTGCATGCATAACCAAAAACCTGAATAAAAGGTGATTTGCACAAATGAGCAAACAGAAGGATCTACAGAACTTGACCTGTGTTGCTGCAACTATCAACTACAATTTCCCTGGCAAATATTCAGATGAGCTCCACTCTTTAGTTACTCTAGTTCAGACCATTATAGCTAAGATTCACCATGCTACATTCACAGTTGAATCAACTGTATTTATTCCATATTCTAAATGTACGGAAGAAGTTCCATTCAGCTTTTTCTTGAGAACTGCTACTTTGTGAAACAAACTCCCATGCGTATGATTCCCTGAACACTACACGATTGACCTCTTCAAGTTCAGGATTGATCATTATCTATCCTCCTTATAGTCTCCACTTCCTTCTACCTCCCTCTTAAATTCCTATCACGCACACACACCTCATTCAGTAACCCTCTACCAATAGTAACTGTTGAGCTTTTTATTGGGTGAACATTAGTCTTAACAAAACTTGGCTTTCTTCAAAAACCCTTATATTTCTATTATTGGTTTACATGAGCTTTTTACCCTAGTGCCTTGATTACATGAATTTAAGCTTACTACTAGATTGCCAAATAGGTCTTACCATTTTACTGTTGAACTTACTAAATGCAACTATCACTTCTACTCTAACGGTTTCTTTTTTCTCTTTTGTCACTTGTGGAACTCCTTTCCAATTTCTTGTTTCCTGCCAACTACAATCTTCAAAAATTTAAATGCAATGTCAATCACCATCTTCTATCTTCCTGAACTCTATTCTTTTATTGTCCTTTTCTCTTTTCTCACTGAAGTCTTCTCATTCTCTTTGGCACCCCATAACCCCAGCATCTTAGTGTTATTATTGTCTTGCATGGAGTGAAATAGTTTTAAAAAAAAAAATCACTGTCAAACCTTTATGTGATGTTTATTTTTAATTTTTAAATATTTTTCCTATTTTCAGACAAAAGATGAGCAGTTTGAGAAAATTGAGATTCAGTTCCGTAGCATAGAAAAAGTGATCAAGGTCTTCTTGCGAGATGTAGACACATATCTGAAACAATTAGATGTAAGTCATTCAAAACTTATGCTGTTTTTTTTTTTGTTTTGTTTTTCATCTTACATCAAGGAAAAAAAAAACAAACTCTACTGAAGTAGAAATATGTATAAAATATTTCACTTGTAAATATTGATTCTGTCATCATCATTGATTGGTAACAAATTAGTAAGAACTGTGAAAAGTGAAATGCCAGGTCCTCATTCTGTGTAATTCTTCAAAATACCAATAGGAAGTAAATGTTTCTTAAATGTTACTCCCAAGTGTATTGGACATAAAAATGATATCAGTGGATGCAACTAGACTTTAAATTTTGGCTACAAATTTAATTTTCCATCTACACCAGCAGAATGACATTTAGTAAACTGCTTTATGACATTTGGTAGACATTTATCGATACTATAAAAAAATTTAGGGCTTGTATGTAAAGAATTTTGCTATGATGACATTGTACTTGGAAAACTTTCTGTTGCTCTGCATTTTTCTTGTTTATGTCAAATACTTCCTGAATATTCTTGAATAATAAAAGAAACTAAACATAACATTCTATTCACTATTGAATATTTATAAGAGTCTACTACATAATGATGGGCAATTTCCCATTTTTATATGATGGATCTAGAAAAAAAGTGTTATGAGCACATATATATGTACTTACATACACACATACTGTTTTACATATATGGATTAGAATATATCAGTATTGGAATGTGCACGTGCACGTGTATGTGTCTGTGTACATACATATATAATGCATTATTTATTTATATATATATATATATATATATATATATATATATATATATATATATATTTATACATGTTCATGTATTATATGTGTGTGTGTGTGGATAAAAAGAATACCTTCCCGGCCCGTGGCTAGGATCAAAGTGTAGTATATGTGCTTTGTGAGCTGCCGAGCCGGTGTTCTGTCGAAACTCTCTGCTTGCAGAGAGGAACCTGACGAGGCTCCGCCAAGGGTGGGGTTTCGTTCGGGGAGGTTGATTTGAACTAGCCCGCTTGGACGGGTTTAGATGGGTTTTTTTTTGGCTGGGCCTACGGGCTCGGACATACCCACATTAAAAAGGCCTTGTGCCACATTCAATTCCTGTGGGTGAATTGATAAATACCAAATACCATATATATATAATGCATGTATAGTGTGTGTTTTATGTGCACATATATATATATATATATATATATAGAATGTATGTATTATATATGTGTGTGTGTGTGTGTAATATATATATATATATATATATATGTTGTGGATTCCGAGATCAAATTCAGTCTCCAATGAATGACAAACACAGGAATTAAATATAAGAAATAAAATGTATTTCCACAATAATACAAAGGGTAATACTGTTAGTAAATCCAGGAATGCAGTTAGTAGCAATAACATATAGATATATACAGTCTCGAAGTAGGACTTCCTTAGAGTGTACGTGCTTGTAACTGACTTCTACAAGCGGTTACCTCACACTATTACTCTACCTCCAACTCAATCACAATCTCAGTCTTCTTACTATCTTGACTCTGGGTATTTAACGGCAGCAGTCCAAGTAACACTCTGGTCGAGTTCACTTATATGAAAAAGGGGAGGACCCCATAACAATATATATATATATATTTTCCCTTTACCTTTACCTGTCATGTGATTTAATTATTTCAAGATGAGGTCAACTGTGCTTGCTCATTGTCATTCTATGTTCAAACCAAGTATCAGCAGTGACACTATTCATATATAACACCTCCCCTTTGAGATGATTTCCTCTGAAGTCTATATTTCTTCAGCTTCAGTTCAATATTTAGAAATTCTGTTGCTATTCTTTTCCTCTTATCATAAAACCTTGGTCCAGCAATTTCTGATGGCGTGAGTACGTCAAACATGTTGTGCAAAATTTCCATAGGTACCTCTTTTCAGAGACTTTTTAAATCAGTTAATGTGTGTTTTAACTGCTGAAGGTGTCGCTTATGTTCCCACCTATATAATACATATATATAAAATACATTTTATATATATATATATATATATATATATATATATATATAATACATGTTTTTATATATATATATATATACATATAATGTACCTTTTGTTAAACTTAATTGCTTCAATGTGTGTACTTTTTGTTACTTTATTGAATATCTGAGTATCGATAAATTAATGTACACAAAAAACTGATATTGCTATTTGTTCATATTTTATTGATTTGGTGGTGAGCATTAAAATGGTTCAGGTATCATGAAATATTGTCCACTGTTGACTATTTTTTTATTAATATTTCTTCCCTTTTATTTTCAGTTGCACTTCATTGAAACCACAAAGGCTGTCATTTTACAATTGCTCGTAAATAGCATTGATGGGTTTGGTTGGTTGCAGTGAAAAGCAACTGGAATGAAGATGATAGAAATAATTGTATTTTATGTTTAAAAATGAAAATATTTTTGTCTTATTCTTCAAATTTTTACAAAGTGGTCAATATAAATTGATAAAGACAATCCAAGTCTGGGTCTGTATATCAGCATTCTGTTAAAGTGAATTGTAAATACTACAAGACTAAAACTGGCAATGAAATAGACAAGATTTATTTCATGTACTATGTTATTCTTATCTACAATTAATTCACACACACACACTTAGTATATTAAAAAAAAATATGATACAATGCTTATAAAAGATCAAGGTCACCTCAACCTCCAAATTACAAGTACTCTTTTATAAATAATTAAGTAATAATGAGGGAACTGGCATTGAGTTCAAATCAAATTGAATGCATTAAAACATTCATTGGTGTATAGTTATACTATTGTTGGCCAGCTGTTTTGGGGAAAAAATAGAAAATTGTCATTTACTGGAAATAATGTGTGTGTGTGTGTATATATATATATATATATATATATATATATATATATATATATATATATATTCTTTAAAATAAAATGTATCTGTAAAGGAATGAAATGAATGAAAAGATGAAGAAAAACTATTCTTAACCAATGTGTTTCAGCCTCTTTATCAAGACAAATGTGCAAATATATCACAAAGGATGAAACATGTCAGCTAAGAATAGATTTTCCTCTTATGTTTTTCATACACACACACTGACGGCAATTTCTCATGGGTGACACCATTTTGGTTTTGATCAGATACTCTGCAATACAACCTCATGCACAATATAACAAAAATACATCACCAAACAGGTTGTATTCTATGCTAATATATTTTCTACACTGGTTTGGAAATAAGATCGAGTGCTAGTTAGTTTCTAACACAAATACTAGGCACCAACATTTCTCGGTGTCTTGTAACTAATCTATGTACATCAACAGAAGGTAATATAAGTTTCATAAAGACATCTAAGTACATTCACAGCAGCAGAAGAAGTTCTGGAAGAATTGATAAAATAATTTGGTTTCTGCACTTGTTGAATTGTCATGAGTTACACACAGACCTAATCAAAATATCTCCTCCTCTATTTATGTTGGCTATCCACAACAAATAACAGCTGCTTGTGTCACAGAAACCATCTTTTTTTTTAATGTTCTCTTTTGGTTATTTTTAGGAATATGTCATCTGCTGGGAGAACCTGTGTGCTGATATTGTTGCTATCTACAATGATGCTCAGTCTGAAGAACTGAAATGTTATATGGAAGCCACCAACCTCATCTGTACTCAGTATTATCCAGAGTTTGTACGTACAAGCAGTTGTTATTATTATTATTATTGGCAAAGTGACTTTGTTCTTTAAAAATATTTTAGTAGCATTACTCTTCTGTGTATGGGAGTAAAAGATTATAAAGTTGTTTATGATTGAATACCACCTGTGGATGGTTTTGGTAATGGATTTTATTTATGATTGCTAAATGCCTCCCCCCCCACTATTGTAATAGAATCAGACAGAGAAGGCATCTTTGTTCTTTTGTCTCCCAAAGATTTTTTTTTAAATGCTTTGTCTATTTGACTTGATCAGTAGTTGCTGCTTTTATATTTCTGTTTATTTGAATACTTGAAGAAGACACTGAAATAGAAATTTTCATATTATGGTATGAGTTCCATGCATAGGATGTCAGTCAGTGGAATGCCATCAGAAAGGTTTCTTTTTCATACCTCTGGTCAACAACTGATTTTATAACTTAATTGTACTACAAACTATTATACAGGTTTCCAGAAATATTAAAAAATTCTAATTGACATTGTGGTGTAATTTTAAGCAGATGTTATTTATTTTAGAGACAGTAATACATTCATTTGGAATGGCATTAGCATTTTGTAGAAGGCACCCTGAATTCCAGTGGTAATTGCACTTAATCTCCTCTCAAGTCAAGTGCCATGCGTTATACACACTTAGGTGATCCTGTTTCTTACCATTCATCACTGACTAGGCAGAAGATTTCCTGCAGTGGACTGGCATTTCATTCTGCAGTAGACTTGTTACCAGCCAAGGCTATAGGGCCCAGTTTTTCCTGGTATTCAACCCATTGCTGGTGGGGGGGGGGGAGAAGAGATGAATACATACCTTTTGTGTGTGTGTGTATTTATGTGTAAATAAATGTAATGTACTCAATTGGAATTTGAACTCATCTCTCCAATTTCTCCTTCCAAGACATTAACCATTGCACAGCACCACACATCCCCTCTACTAAAGCTGTATACCTTCTTAGAATTGTATATTCACAAAATATCTGATATCATCATAACTCTTTTGTTAATTCTTTTTACTATTAACAATTCTGCTTGTCGAGTGGGGATTTTATAGCTTTCAGACATTTATTCTTAACAGTACATCTTGTGTGTGTGTGTGTGTGTGTGTATATATATATATATATATATATATATATATATATATATATATATATATATTTTGTGTGTGTGTGTGTGTGTATAAAATAAAACCAAAATACCTGGCAGTGTTATCTTCTGAAGATGAGAAATTCAAAGGAAACCCTCATTGAATAACACAACAATAGGAGAATTCATTTTGCATTAGTTTAGCATTTACAAGTTACTTTGAGCACAATAAAAACAGATTATAATGCTGTATTTAAAAGGCAAAGAACAACTGAAAACATAATATATTAATTATGAAAAAAAAGCGTATAATTAAAGCCATTTTAAAATTGTCAACATTTCTTTTACTAATATTTCTGTCCGCTCGCTTTTCATGCTTTCTATGCAATGTACTGCTTACAATTAACATTTTCATTTGTTCTTTTTGTTATCTAACCACAAATCTGATCATTTTATTCAAGATCTGCTTTTTATTAAAATTCGTTGTGTTAATGATCACCATGAATGAAGTCTTTTTTAATCGGGACAGGATATATTGACAATTAGATGATGAAAATTCTTAAGCAAATCTTGGATCTTTTATGAAACCAAATAAAAAATGTTGACAAGAAAACTTTCAGGATATATATATTATACATAAACTGTGTATTACAAAATGATAATTCATATACTTGTAAATCATGATGTATTGAATGTTGGTATATCTATATGCTTTCAGAATATAAAAAGCCCTTGTTTGAATTTTGTTTTAATTATTGTATATTATTGCTTTGGACGAATTTCCTCATTTTTGTATGTCATCTACTCGGTCCATAAAAGTTCAGCTGTGTACTTCTGGTCTTCTTTAGGTGTCTTAGATGTAATTTTTTTTTTTTTTTTTTTTCTGAGTGATGCATTTTTTCTTGTACACATCACATCCTGTACTTGTCTACCTGTGTTCATAAGAACACCCTGGAGACAAGGAACATGTGTAAAGTCAAGTAGGAGTGCAGAGGTCAGGACAGGTGAAATGAGTTTGTCATTTCTCAAAATTTCAGTGACATTCCAGAATATAACAGATTTACAAGGAAGGCTTATGTGGCCTAAATGTTGTTAAAAAAAGAAAAAAAGACAACAAAATTAGCCTAAGCCAACAACATACTATAAAAGAAAATCACTTCTTTTTTTTTTTTCCTTTTTAACAAATTTATATATACTCTTTAGACTTTGAGGCCAATTGCTAGAAATATGAATGGTAATAAATGGTGCAGTTAATAATTTCTTAATTTCTAAATTGATGCCTCAAAAGTATTTGAATTATAAAAACATCTTGTTTTTTTCTTTTTTGTTAGATACTTGCATTCCAAGGAAGAAATTCTTTATTTTTCAGAAAAGCACAGTAGAGACTTTGGTCATATCTCCACTCAACCAGCTTCAATCACTGTTTCTTGGCCCAAATAAAGTTATTCAGAAGCGTTTTGACAAACTGCTCGATTACGACAGTCTTGCTCGTAAATCCAAAATTGATAAGGTCAGCTATGCCACTTACTTATTCTTTCTTTCTGCTTTAAATTAATCTTTTTTGTTTATTTCTGAAAAGTAAACCAAGTTGATTGGAAAGCTTTATTGCCCTTCTATAATATAAAGCTCAAAGTTTGTGTGTATGTTTCTGCTCAATAGCTCAAAAATTAATTTTATATATATATATATATATAAAAAGTCGTTTTTGTATAATGTATGTATGTTTAAACATAAAACTGATCTGATATCAAATATCATTTTATCATCTTAATTATAAAAATTTCATAAGAATAACAAAAAATTTCATATCAATAAGAATGTTAGGAATTACTTTTTGGTAGAAACCAATGCAATGACTTATTAATATTGGCATTCTTATGACTTTGATATGCGTCATTTTTATTATTGATATGTGACATTCTTATTGATGCAATGTTAATGTCATTTTATTGCCCCTTTATGGCAAAAAAGCAACTGTTTTCAATATAAGGAATGTTTCAAAGCCTGTAAAATGTTGACCCAAATGTTTAATAAAGAGACATTATATAGAATCATGCCTATCATATTTTTATCTCTAATTTTCTCCAATTAATTGAAGATATCTCAAAACAAATACATTTTGGGACTCTACTTCTAACAAATTATTAATCCTTAATAGATTTCCTTTTCAACCATATATAATATCTCTGTTTTAAATTTTGCCCAGATTTCAGAATCCTTGATTTTCTGCTATTTTCAAATCAGAAATTTTAGGGCAAGTTGACAATAGAAAACTTTTTCTTGAAGTCCTAGGGTCACATTAGAATATGAAATAAAAAACTTTCTCTGATTTATTAAATTTTTACAGGACTCGACTATTGGTAAGACATCATTAGTTTTGCATTTGTTTGTTGAAATATACCAAGTAAATTATAGTGAATTGGTAAAATACTACAAATTTTCAACTTTTTATACATAACAAGGGGCAAGTGACTTAAAATGTAAAACTAAATAATGATGGCAAAGAAAAAGGACTTCAAATTTCACAATTCAAATCTACTTCTAACATCCCAATGAGTAGATACAAAATCTTGCATATTTGAAATATTCATAATTTTTAATCAAAGACAATGAGAATCTTTTTTAACCCTTTGAACCCTAATCCCTTGATGAGTACGGTATATTCACTTTCACACACTGGCCAGTATACTGGCCGTTCAAGTTCAAAGGGTTAAAAATAAAGTTTTTATTTTGTCTGACAATTATAGAGGATTCAATGTGTCATAATTTATTCTTTTCCCTTTTTATCCTACACTTGTAAAATAGAATTTCTTACAATTTGAATTGTTTTTGTGAAAATGTTTCATCAATATTTGTTTTTTATGTCAGGCCAATGAGGTCCATGCTGCACAATGTGATTATGAAGCTCTGAATGCCCAATTGTTGGATGAACTTCCTTTGCTGTGTCAATTTGCCCAGCAACTGTTCAAAGACTGTATTTGTTGCTATAATAGATCTCAGGGAAACTTCTATGACAACATTGTTAAAAAGATGTATACTCTGCTAACAGTAAGTACAACAGCTTTACCTGTAATATTTGTGTTTAATCCCCTTTCACTGTGCTTTATTTTCAATATTTTGTCTGTGGATAAATTTATATTTTGGATTTCTTGGGTTCTATGAAGAAATTTATTGATAATTTGTCATGTATTTTAAGGCTATTTTTAAATTGTTATATTATTTGATTGCATATAAAATGTTATAAAAATAATCAGTATTCCTCTTTATTCATAGAAAATAAATTAACATTAAGATGTCCAATATGACTTTATCTATGAAGTCATATTGGACATCTTAATGTTAATTAATTTTCTATGAATATTGTCTTCCGCTGTAGGAATGCAGCTTATCTACTTAAAATGTTTATACTAACAAACTATAATATTTATCAACTGTTCACTAGTTTTTGAAAATATATTCATTTTAAATGCCATACCTCTTTAGAGGAGCAATGACCATGGATCACCACTGATTGCATTTTTGTTTTTATTATCTGTGAATTGCCTTGATAATATACATAAAAAGCTTAAATAAGAACCTAATTATTGAAAAAAAAGGTTTTATCCTTAATTAAATATTGTTGAAAAATTTTGATAGATCAACTGAATATACAAATCTAGGTACCGCCATAAAATTGCTAAAAAATCAGCATACCATGATAAAAACATGCTGCAAACATAATGAAAAAATAGATTTATTGTTAAAACCTTTGTTATTATTAAGAGGAAAGATCAAAGTAGTTTTTTAATATTTCATTAAATTTTTTACTCCTTTTTAGAACATTCAAAATTTTGATTAAAAATCTTGTTTTTCTTATGTCAGCAGATGTACTATATTTTAGTATAGCAAATTTTATCATCTTTTTTGCAGTGACAGATATCTTAAGAAATTCTTGCAAAAATCACATAATTGTTTGATTTTAGTGAAATTTGCAGGACTTATTCACAAATGAATTAAATTATTTTTAAAATGTTTTTTATTAGAAAATCTTTTAAATTTTTTTTTTTCTTTTGTTCCACCCCGTTACTAAATTTTATAAAAACTTGAGAAATTCAATGTGATAATTTTTAGTGACTATATTAGTTAAAAGCAGAATTCTTTGGAGAACTGAAATCAAAGATTTTTTTTTTTTTTTTTTCAAAATCGAACCGTCTTACTGCAAATCTGCTCCGAATTGAAAAGTACAAAACAGTAAAATTAAGAAATTATTTAATTAGAAAAGCTTTTAAGTGATTTTATGAATAACATATATTAAGGTCAATAGTGTCTTAAGAAAAAAATGTTTTTCAAGATTTATTTTCATGCTTTTTGAAATTTTTAATTAGCATAATTTGTAATATTTTCACTTGTAATCTTTTAAAATTCAATTGTGTAACACTTAGAAAAGATTGTTATAAAGTAAAACTATATTTACTAATCATACATCGTAAAACTTATTACAATCTGACACCCCCAAATATTTTTAAAAGAATTTCAAATTGTTTTTGTATGTGTAAAAATGTGCTTTTATAGATACGGTGTTTAGAGGCAAAATTCTTTAAAATTCAATAAAACAGATTACAGACAATATTTTCTTAAATTTTTAACATTACTGAGAACTTAAAATTTATTCTCAAATAGTTTTTTTTATGGTTAAAGACCAAAAAGAACAACATTAGATAACAATCTATGTGTCATCAAGCTGTCACAAAGGAGTTTTTAACACCTCCATGACAGCTTTTTAAGCTGTCAACATAAATAATATACCATCATATTGAAAAATGCACTTGTGTGATATTTTAAACTTAAAAAAAAAAATAATAGTTGTTTCAAATCAGATTAATTATACTTGAAATCAGCTAATATTCCTCAAATAAAGTTTCAGAAAAATATATTTTATTTTTGGAAGATTTTTTAATGAAGAGATTTACATTTTTATAATACTTTACTAAAAATGGTTCTAAATGAAAAAATTTTAGAAATTAAAAAAAAAAAATTCCAATTAATTTAAATTATTTTTAAAATACAGCATTGTATTTTGTTTATTGGAAATATTCAATTTAATCTCTCAGCTTGAAATTAAAACTAAAATAAAAGCTTCAAAAAAGATTTTTCATTATTAAAAATTCATTTTTAAACATTATCATGTTTTTGTGGAGGTACCTGTACAAATTATATTATTGACAATGTTTCTTATCTTTGTATTTTCAATTGATTTATTTATTTGACTTTCATAAATTCCCCTTGATTTTCAGACCTATACATACTACCTGGGCTGTTTTGGCTATTGTTACTATTTCAAACATTTATTTAAATAATTTTGTTGTTTTGGTTCTCTTTATATATAATTTAATACTTGATTCACATATATATTTAATCTGGATTGAAATGATGGCTACTTAAAACATTGGCATGACTGTAACAATAAAGGGAACAAACCTCTGGATTTTGAAGAATCAACTAAAAACTGAATGTTGCAAACCTTTTTTAAAACTACTAACTCACTTTAGGCATAGAGAGAGATTTTCTTTTTCTGAATGGTTTTATCATATATTTAATAACAATAATAATAATAACAAAATTAACCCATTTATGCATAAATTATCCTTAAAATTTCAACCCCTTTAGAATAATCTACCTTGCTGGCTCATGGTGATCTCAGCAGTGATGGATTTTAAATTTTAAGTAAACCCCTCTTTAAAAAGAATGGTGCCATGCACTAATAGGTTAAATAGTTCCAGCATCCTAGATTAGTAAGAATTAATTAAACCAAAGTAGTGATGAAACTTATTAATTATTAAATCCAGAGGCTGGTCCCAGATCTTTGTATTATAGCATGTGTATAAAGTTCACAGCCTTATGGTGAAAAAAGTATTTATTTTTTATAACTGTTTATTTTAGCATAATCTCTTTCCTTATGTGACTCACGTAAATCAAACATTATAAACTGAAAATTGAGTACATGTCAGGCTGAAAAGTTATTGATGCACCTTTTGTATAATATATAAACTTACAATATCAATGATGTGTTGAAAGTAAAGGAAAAAAAAGAAAGGTATTAAAAACTGATTAAAATATAGTTTTGAAAGAAAAACTTCTTGTTAATATTCATATCAATATTCAATTTATATTAAAATAATGAAAATATTGCAAAAGTAATTCTCTTTCTATGCATTGTAATATTATTTGATTTAAACATTTTAATAAACAAGAGTCATTAGCTCAGTGTTAATAATTTTTCTTTCACTTGACTGAAGAAATGAAAAAAAAAAAAACAAGGTTTTTTTTCTTGATTTATTTTTAAAATCTATATTTTGACTTTCTCTTTTTTTTTTTTTTTTTTTTTTTTTTTCCTCAGCTGCCTTTCCTGATGTCTATGCCTGACAATATTCTTGATTCTTTCCAAGTGTTACACAGTAATGCTGTTGATATGCTTAGTAATCTGGGTTTTATCCCTCGGGGCTTTGGACCAAAAGTGATGGACAACAAACCAGAAAGAAAATTGTCCCGCCAATTTCGTATCACTCAGTCAGAACAGGTAAGATAAGAAGCTCACAATTATCAGATTTCTGCTCTAAATGCTTCAAGGGTTGAAAATTCCATCTATGTGTATTTCAAGTTGGAGTGTGTTAGAGAAGCTAAAATATTCTAGCTGGGTTACGTTGAGTTTGCTTTCAGCATTAAAATTCACTTCTGTTGTGTAAATTTATTTTTATTTTAAACCACATTTAAAAAATGGATAAATAAACAGGAATAGATGGAATAATAAAAAGCAGCAAAAAAGGAATTATTTCTTTTGCAACTTATTCAGCACTTGGTCACTTTGTCATCCTCCTTGTTTAACATGACAAAATATTGTAGAATTATCAGTCTTTGGGTTTTTTAAAATCTTTCTCCCTGCATTTTCAGCCAGAATAGAATGGTTTTATTAATCTTAGTACAACTTAATATCGACATCTTTAGGACAAATGAATAAATGTTGAGTTCTGTATTTTTCAAAACATTTATTATAGTGAGGTTTACATTTTATGGAAAAAATAGAATTTGATGAATTGTTGTTTGTCTTTAAGATTGGCAAAGGAATTGTTATAATTCATTTTATTTAATAATTATTGTTCTTTGAAGACGAGCATTTTGCTGATGACAAACTACAAAAACCAATAGAGGGAATAAAATTACTTGACTAAATTTGTGTTATGTCTTCATTACATTGAATGAAGATAGCACAATGAAGTAGTAGTATGTCACTTGGAGTCTATATAGTCTTGCCGAAAATTGGTAGTAGCAAATAAGCTAGATCTCTAACTCTTTATTTTTTCTCTCCTTTCACTCTTCTTCTGACGATGATTCTTGGTGTTAGTCTATATGTATTTGGACAAATCCAACTCCTCTTCTGGAGAGGTGTGTTCATCTGTACAATAAATTCACTTTTGAAAAATGATCCCACCATCAGCACTGATGTTAAAATTCAATCTTGAAATCTTTTCTTTAATCCTTTTAAAAGGATTAAATGTGTAGATGGAGAGTTTCTATTCTCTTCATTGCTTTTCAACTTTATAGAAAATTCTGAAACCTTTTTTCCATCAATTAATTTTAAGATAAAAGTAACTCCCAAAATCATGCAGACTGTTAAAAATATCTTGACTATTGTTTGGTTTGTTTGCGTGTATGACCAATTCATCCTTCTTTTTCTTTTTAACTTATATCAAAGTGTAATATCTGTTTAATATCTAACAACCCTTTTAAACTTCCTGATTGAGAAATTTGAAAATAAAATGGAGAAAGAATTGGGGGAAAAAACTAGGAGGAGGATGAAGGAGGGTATGGAGGAAGAAAGTTGAGAAAGCTGAAGAAAAAAGATATATATAATATAAAAATTCAACCTCAGCATTGCGACCGCACGCTCCAAAAAAAAAAAATTCTTACAATTAACAATAACACATTTCTAAAAACATTTTTTTGGATTACATCTATATTTTCGTTGTCCTGTTATTACCAAGAAGTAAAAAACAAATCTATTTTCATACCTGAAGATGTCTGTAGGAACAGACGAAAGCTTGTAAAAAAACTAAAAAAGAACTTATGCAACTGGAATTTATAAACAGGGATCATAACTTTCATATACAGGTTCAGGGTTAATGTACTTTATTAAATTTGTTTGCGAAGATGTATTCTCGCCATTTAAATCATTAACTAAAAACTAAAAACTAATCCACAAGTGTATAACATTTAGATGAAAAACACACAGGCAGGTAGGAAAGTTTGGAAGCTTTACGGTAATGAGACAAGATACAGATGAAGAGTTGCAAAAAGAGCAGACATACAAGATAAGAGTTGATCTTAACTGTCAAACATTGTGTGGAATTTCCAGGAGTTTAATTTGTGATATAAATAATCAACAAAAACACATTTTTTGTTTGCTTATCAAATATTATCTACAAATGTTTTTTTAGACTTACCTTTATCCTTCACTCAAATATATGAGGGGGGGGATACTGAAAAATTTTTAACCCGATCCACTTCCAAAAATTTTTACTCTGATTTATGTTAATTAAAATACAGATTTTAGGGAAGTGGTTTCAGAATAACTTTTCAATACAATCTAGTTTTTAGACTTGAAAAATGAGATATAAATGAATAATGTATAATTTGTTTTGTTTTTCCTCCAGTAAAGATTCCAGGTTTGTATGTTAAGACATTCAACATGATTTTTAGCTCTAAAACAATAACAGATTATGTGCATGTGTCTCTTGATTTAATTTTTCCTCTTCTGTTTCACAGCCAGAGGCAACAAACACTTTAAGTTGTATGGGTGGCTTAATAGATTCTCTTGATATTAACATGAATGCCAGTACAACAGAAGACTTTCAACACATGCCTTCAAGTCCAACTTCAGTCTTTAATATGGTAAATGACAAACAAATATCTCTGGCTCTTAACAGGACCTTTGGTTTATAGTTAAATTTGTCTCCCTTGCCTCATGGCTTGCTGATTCTCCTTTGCACTCCATCAGTTGACATATTAAGGACTCTTGAGTATTGTTTCACTTAAGTGAAGCCTTGTTTGAAGGCATTAAACAAGTGATGGTTCTTTTGTAATTTTAGATTAGCTTCTTCACCCAATGTAATTATTATTTCTAGTTATCTCTTATGAAAAAAACATTTACTAAGTTAAAATTGAGTTTTGTAATGTTCTATAATGTTGATATCATTTTTAAAAAAAATAGTGTTGTAAAGTAGTAGTCAGATAATGAGCAAAAATAATATTTTATTTTTTATCCTACAAGTAACATTCCATTTGAAAATAAGTTTGATAGATAAATAACAAAAGATCTCATTTGAAAACTTAATTTGTCAAAGAAAAGAAAACTAAATAGAATATAGATGTAAAAATATTTCTTCCTCACAAATGATCAAGGCTTAATAATCATCAGTGTAATGAAACAGGTTTTTATTTTTATTTGATTGCACTATTTACATTGTTTGGACTGTTGTCCTCAGCTTTATTGTCATATTCACAATGTGTTGTAACCTAGGGGAGGTTACTGAATAGAATAATCAAATGAAGTATGGTAATGAATGATAATACTTGCAGCACGTAGAAGAAGTAGTCAACTGCTAGAAGTTAGTCAAGTGAATTCCACAATGAATCTCCAACTGCAGACCAACATACAGTATTTACTATTGTATTTATGTGAATGGGGACATACCCATTATCATTCATAGGTATGCTACAACACAATATTTCAATATTTTGGCCATTGTACACTCTTCCCTTCTTCAGGTGATGTATGTTGGAATTTCAAACCAAACCCTTTATTTAGTTCCCAAGGACACATAGCCCAGTGAATAAAAGCAGTGATTAAAGTAATCCAGTGACTTGACATAAAGAGTTATGAATCTGGCCACAGCAGAGGTGATCAAAAATTTAGAGAGATGAGTTACTAAAAGGAATTAACTAAAGGGAAGAAATTGAGATATTCAGAAAAGGCATGGCATGTGGAACTAGAACAGTCTACCCCTTTGGACTAAGTAATGGTTCAGAATATCACCTGAAGAAGCTTTGGAGTGTACAACAGCCAAAACATTGTGAATATGACAATAAAGATGAGAACAACAGTCTGAAAAATGTAAATAGTGTAAATAGTTACAATACAAAAATATAGACAGATGTTGATTGATTTATTTTGTAAATTCCTCCAATTTTTTCTGGAAAAAAAAAATTAACTTCATATCATTTCGACAAGTATTTCAAAACACTTTTTGTCTTAGTTGGTGTTATATTTATATATTCTCTTATATGTAACTTTATTTATTAGCCTTTTGCTATGGATAAACAGATGAGAGTTAAAGATTAAGTTTACTTATTTTGTTTATATAATAAAATATATATATATATATATATATATATATATATATATATATATATATATATATATATATATATATATAAATATATTGTTTAAAAATTTGCTATATTTATCAGGGAAGATAAATACAGTGTGGACATAGAAGCCAACATTGCATGATTGCAGTCAGTTTCATGCTTCAAGTGATCTTCAGACCATAATTCCTATGTCCACACAGCATTATATATATATATATATATATATATATACATACATTCTGGGTCACAAAATTCCAAATGATGTAAGGTTTAATATGAACCTGAAGAGGAACCCTAAAGAACTCACACATGAAATTGTGTTGAAACAATGAGTAGGATATTTATTCTTTCAGAGCACAATTCAAAATTTCCAAAGATTCTCTGTTGCTTCTTATATGAGCACTCACTTTTTGCATCAGTTTGTTTTAAACAATTAGTCAATAGATTTATAGCTAGTTACCCTCTCCAGAAATATATATATATATATATATATATATATATATATATATATATTTAATATAGACTTTTTACTTTTTAGTTCTTGTAGTCAATCACAATTCTTGAGATGTTATGTTGTGAAAATAATTTTTATTTTTATATAAACCCCAGTTTGTCAAAGTCCCGGAAATGTATATAAAGAGAAGTAAGCAATGTGGCATTTAAAAAAAATGTAACATAATTATAAAGTATACAAAATAAATGACTATGAAAATGTTTAAACTTATCAAACTGTTTTAACTACACCAATTTTACTGATAGCATTTTATAGTATATGCAAATTGCTCAAGCAAACAATTGTGTAGAGTACAGTGGAACAAAGGAAATGGATTTGGTTTGTGTAATGTTGGGTCTCATTAATAGTCTTGTATAAAATATCAATATTTTTTATTCATCTTAAAAAATATAAAATATTCAGACAATTAAGTAATCTGTTTGTTACAGATGCCATGACAATGGCTTCAGTATAAAGAAATATATGTAAGGAACAAAAATGCATCTTTTTAGTTTGTGATGTTCAAAGTAGGAAAAAGAAAAGTCATCACTGAAACTGATTTATTTTTTTATGAGCAAAATACATTGGAAGTGGCACAATATTACAGGAAAGGATATGTAACCTGTGCTTATAAACCAATACACACACTTAAACATAAACATATTGTAATGAAGAATCAGGTCAACCTGCTAAGAGACCCTGAGTTGGTTGTGCAATAAACACCAGGAGTTATGTCCTCTTTCACAATTGGCTATTGAGAGAAGACATTCTACTTAGAATAGGTGGTGCTGACAAAATTTGCATATGAACAATATCGGTCAGGTATTAGCTAATAGTCAGCATGGGTCTGGGACTCAGGGAGCTATATAACACCAGCTTTTACTCAGTCGTAGAGTAGCAATCTCGACATGTGGAAAACTAGACAAGACAAACACACATATAGATGATGAATAACATACAGAAATTCAAGTTTAATATTAGCTACTTAAATTGACACTTTTTCCCCTTTTTTTTTTTTTTTTTTTTTTTGAATGACTTTTTCTTTTACACACTAGTTTATCACTACTTTTACCACTGACTACAAAACCTTTGGCTTGCTCTACACAAATATTATAATTGACCAGAGTGGTTTAAATAGGTAGGTTTGATATTCGTCTGATAAACTGGTACTGTGTATGAAACAGCTAATGTTTTAATGGTTGAACTAAATCTGCTATAGGAGAAAATGCTTCATGATAATCCATTTCAGATGAGAAAAACCTTTCACAACAAAGTACTTATTTCATACTTATTATTCTATTTTGAGTCGATCTAACAGTAAACTCCCAGTGACACTATCATCTTACTTTCTGGTAATAGGATGAATTTAAAAGCATTATACACTCTTAGAGCATTTATCATCCCTGGCCTTTTTCCAGTGACTTGAATCAGCATTTTTTGCTTCTTGCTATATTCTAGGGCCATCAGAGTAGAGCAATAATCTACAGTGTACATTACATTATCATTAATACAATCCACAAGATACTTTCATGCCTTCAGTGAACAAATTCCAAGGTCTTAAGAGTTTCAGTTCATTGTTTCAAATATCTTCTCAAATTACACTCACACAAACACAGAAATGGTCAACCATTTGGTACTGTAATATTCCAGAAAGTTATCAATTTAATATTTAAAGAATTAATGTTTTTATGAAAAAATAATTTTTCACAACATTGTATCATCTAAAGAAGAAATATTTCACAGTAGATAACTTTTCTTCACATTTAGAATGTAATTAACTTTCTTATAAACAATGCAAACTAGAAAATACACTTAGAATGTCATTAGTATTTAAACTAGTATTAATGCTTTCTTATGCACCATAGATTTCATTTATTAGTAGCACTAATAAGTATTAAATATAGTTTGTTTTTCTTTCACATTAGATAGATGTCTAGGAATTCAATATGTAAATAAATGTCAATTGATAATCTGTCTGTTTTCAAGTTGGATTTTTCGGCAATGCTTAACCTTTGTGCCTCCCAAAAAACGGTATGTCTAAAGGATGGTTTTTCTGTTGACAACACTATTACTTTAAACTACTGAGACTTTCTTGGCAATGTTATAAAAATACGTAAACCAGGTACAATGCCATAATTATTTACCATTTTATAAAGAAATAAATTTGTAAAGAAATCTTTTTATTCAAAAATTTATAAAACCCTACAAAATCTTCAACTAATTGTGTTCTTTGGAATGCTTGGCAAAACATTGGTTGCCAATTGATTTGAACTTTATAAAATGGTAAATAATAAAAGATTTCATTAGAGTTGGTTCACATATTTTTATAATTTAGTAAATTTTTTCATTGCATTAGTTTTTAGAATATTGTAAATATAAAATTAAATAGTGTTTAATATTTTTATAGCAAAAAATATTGCCAAAGTAGTGAAGGCAGTACAAAATAATAGCATCTTTTTGACACACTGTTTTATTGCGGGCACAAAGTTTAAATTTTGCCAATTTTTCTTATTTTCTTTAGACTTAAACTAAGCCCACAGGTATTAATCAATAAATTTCTTTTTCCCGTCGACATATGTTCTCGGTAATGAATGCCACCTGGCTTATTTATAAATATTTATTAGTTAATTAAATCAGATGATAATTTGAAGAAAACCTTCATAGGTAGCAATTTCATATTTCTTCTTTAAATCAAACATTAAGGATATTAAACTAAGATATTCACCAAAAAAAAGAAAAGTAAGTTAAATTTATGTTTTCGAATATTTATTCTACCTGTGGTGTAGTGTGTCTTCAGTCTTTTATAATAATCAAACAAGTCTATCGAATAGTCAGTCAATGCAGTGACGTAAAATAAAGAATTTCTCATTTCTTTTTCATTTGTTTCTCTTTTAATTTCTCTTTTGATTTCTTAGCCTGATACACTGAGTCCACTTCGTTTTGTATCTGGTCTCCTTGAATCCTTGGACATAAACTTGAATGCAGAGAGCCCAGAGGACTCGCCACGCAAATCTCCAAGTCCAACCTCTATATTTTATGTGGTAAATGATGGCAGACTTCCTGCTTTCTCAAAGAAGTTATTCAAGCTGTAAATTTCACTAATCCACTTGCTAACATACCTGGTGTGACACTTTTTTCTTTTTTTTTTTTTTTTTTCAACTTAAATCTCGCTTGTGAGAAACATCCTCACCACCTTGTTTCATCACCTACTTCACCAGATTCCCAGTTGATCCCTGTGTTATTTTCATTTAACTTTACACGTTTGTTTTCAGTCTTGATGACACCCAATTACTCTGCTGACCTTTGTTTTGGCATCATTTAATCTTTACAGGTTCATTCAGACAAATATTCATCAATGTATTGTTTCGGTTCTTTTTGAAAGCCATTATTGAAAAACAAAACAATCTACTTTTCAAAACACATTTTATTTTCAATGATGAAAACTCATGAAAGTTGAAAGCTTGGAACAAGACAACATGAATTTTGGTCAGTTTATTCATACACACCACAACCGCATTTGTAAAAACATTGCCAAATATAATAGGCACAAAATATTGTTTTTAACAATATTTAAAATAAATTTACCTTTCCTCATTATCTAATGACTTGCTTGCTATTGTTTAAATTGCAACCCCAACTTTTTACAAATATAAGGTAAGGTTTTAATAGCTAAAAATTAGCTCAACTAATATCATTTCAAAACTAATTATTTGCATTTTAGATTTTTAAAAGAGTAATCTGGATATTCAAAAAACAGTTTAAGTACAATAACCTTTCCTCAAAATTCACACACAAAAGATAAAAAGGTCTGAATAAACTTAAAAGGATCCATCCTATTTCACTCACTTTTTTTCTGCTTTTTACATTGTTTTGCAATTATTTACAGTGGGAAATGTTAACATCACACAGTTGCATCAGATTGCAAATATTTGAATAAATTTATAACCAAAAAAATCTTCTTGCTTCTTTAACCTTTCTTATTTTATCTGCAAAGATAAATCCTTTTCTTCTCAAATATTTATTGGCAGCATAAAATTTCTCTCATGTTTGGTATAAAATAATTGTGACATTTTCTTAATTTATAATGTGCTTATTTTGCTTTTCTATAAAATCCCATTGAAAACTGTTCAATCAAAATCAGTTAGAAAAGAATTTGACAAAAAAAAAAATATTGTATAAAATTTTTTCTAACTTATTTTCTTTATAAACATAACTTTCACTATTTGATTTTTTTCATATAATATTTATTATTTAAAGAAATAATGGAATTTTCATTTATTAATGACATATTTTTAGCAGATACCCATATTTCAGTAAATGCTCCATTTATATTTTAAACATTATTTTGTCTACCAGCCTGAACATTCGAGAAATCTTAAAGAAAAATACATCTTCTGGCATTTTTCTTTAAGATTTCTTGAACATTCAGGTCAGTAGACAAAATAATGTTTAAAATATAAACGGAACATTTACTAAAATATGAGTATCCACTAAAAATATCATTTAAAATAATAAAAATGTAAGTTATCTAAAATTGTATGTGATATTCTGGACTGACTATAAAGATAACATCAAATGGATGCTGATTAGAAACAAAATACTTAAAACTTACATACAAAGGAGAAATGTTCAATTTTACTTTAAAAAAAAAAAAAATAACATTCATTGTTGCTGTTCAATCATAAGTTTTGCATTCTCTTTCATCAATGTTTGTAATAAAGAAAATGACTAAAAAAAACAAAAAAACTATCAAGAACTTCTTTATATCACGCTGACCAAAAGCAAACTTTGTTTTTCTGATTTTAAATTGTGGAATAATTTTGTACAATGTAAACCATTTTAGCTTTCTTAAAACTGAAATTTTAATGCATTTAAGTTTTTAATGAATGTTTTTTTATATTTATAAAATTTTCAGAAATAATTTCATTTATGAATGACAGAAATTTGGACTCTGTTTAAAATATCTTAAAAAATATGGAAACTTTTTATCAGTCAAGCACTTATTGTGACTTTATAAAATAAATCAGGAAGTAGTGGTCAAGAATTATTTAGTAAATGTTTTTCGTAATGGTAAATTCTATCTGAATGGAAATTGTTATTATATAAGGATTTCTGTCTTAGATATGATGATAAACTATATCCACGTCCCGGGTAAGACAATAAACTACATCCAACAGCAAGGCCTCTGATCAGGAGGTTTTGAGGTGCGTGGAACCACCTCTTAATTGCTAGTGTTCTCAGGTCCACCCTGATGCAGGGTGGTAGCACCTGTTAGGGTCCCAATTATGGGCAAATAGTTAAGACCCAAACTAGGGTCAAAACACTATGAATAGGTTTTAATAACAGCAATAAAATTTTTGAGGAAAAATTATTATCAGCAATACATTATTACCAGCAATAAAAATTGCCGGCATTAAATAACCCATAGTGGTTGATATGCCATAAAACAAAACAAACCAAATCATATAAGGATTTATTTCAACAGATGTCCTCATTTTGGTGGTTATAGTTACATTTTAGATGTTACATTCTTTAATCTTTAATACCTGTCATATTTGGTAATGATTTTTTTTTTTGTTGGGTGGGGAGATAATGGCCTAGTATATATAAGAATTGATTAAGTGTATGCAGTTGGTCATGAGTTAGATCCATATTCTCTGGTTCAATAATAGAACAAAATTACGTTGCATCACAAGGAGAAATTATTTAAAAATTAACTAATACAAGTTATCGCCCCTTGCATGGACAGCACTTTCAACATCTGACTATGACATTTATCAAAGAAATGCCATGTAAGGGACAACAAATGAAACATGACTGTAATAACCAAGGTGAAGACACCAGTTTAAATAAACCTGTGTATAATGTTTCTATTACATGTGTGCAATGAAGATCATGTTGAATGGACAGGTTTCTAGTTCATTACTTATTAATAGAGGTGATCTGAGCATAACTTATAAAGTGCCTTCACTCTAAGATTTAAAGTCAGTTCTTCCCAACACACACACACATACACGTTTGCTTTCTTTTATCCAGCAAATAGCTGCATGAAATGTACTGCTTATCAAAATTTAGAAACCATTTTCATATTGTTGGTCATTGATTTACAATTTCAATTTGACTTGGATGATTTTTAAGGATTCTAACTTTTTTTAACATATGATTTTGCTGGCTACAGTAAGTAAACCAAAACAGTAAAGCTTAGCAGTAGATTTCTCTTTTAAAAACAAATGCTGAGTGGATCTATCAAAAAAATATCCTGGAACAAAGTTGAACCAAAGCACAATTAGATTTTCTCTTTATGGGGGAAACTAAGTCAGTTTTATAACTGATAACCTGACAAGATTAGAGAGAAAAACGTGATTGCTTCTCATACCCAATACCTCTAAAACCTTCTGTATCAAAATAAATAAAATCATAACTCTGGATTTTAATCTTTATCTAGTGTGCATTTGACTAATTATATCTAAGTAATAAAATCATTTATTTTGTAGGAGACACCAGTTAATCAGTTTCAGGAAGCAAGCCACAAAGCAGATGTCCTTCAGAAGTACCAAGGTGATAAGCTTTATTTAGTTGTCACTCAATACAATGGCAGTGACAATATGGAAATAAGTGTGAATGTTGGGGATGTTGTTGGGGTCATTAAGGAACAAGATCCAATGGGAAACAAAGAAAAATGGTTTGTGGACAATGGAGGTAAGTGGCTCTTAATTTTTATTCTGAAGGTTTTAAAGAGAAAATAATAAAAATTGGTCACTAATGTACCAACTAGAGTGATTCATCCCAGTGTAAGACACATAGAGAGTATCATTTACCAGCCATGTAACTTGGGTGATTATAATTTCTACACACAGGAATTTCCCCATTGAAAAAAACCATGACCAAAATCAACAATGAGTTACTGCAGTGATGCAGCCTTGAAAAGTAATGCAGTAGAAGGGGGAAGTAATACCTTTAAATAATGCAGACTAACAGTGGCTAGAATCTCAAGATGAGTCTGTCAGAAGGGAGATGTAAGTCTTCCATCATTGGCACTTGATTAAAAAGGCTAAGCACATCAAAACTTACAAAACAAGAATGACAACCAGATGGAACTTATACAAATCTACTTAGAAAAATCCAGAACATCAGTTGGAGATCCCATGCAATGCTTAACACAATTTATGGAGAACTGAGATCAATCTCACTTAAACTCAAACAAAAACAATTACAGTTTGCCAGCTACTGCCACCGAGCAGACAGGGAAATCATGTCATCCTTACTCCTATGACATCCTTCTGGAAGTGTGTTCTCATGAAAATTGATTTTCGCAGACACTATAACTTGGTACTCAGGGTTGGACATTGGGGATCTGGAGACAGAAATGCTGGACCGAACGATGTGGAAAGGGATTGTCAATGGAGTTCCAACAACCATAAGGTCAAAGACTGATGATGATATAAATTAAGTTCTTCACATATGATGTTGCTTTGTCCAAAACTAATTTCATGATATCTGCTAAGCAATAGCTCATGGGGTGACATGTTGAGCATGACAATTCTCTTACTCTTAATGGAATTCCTGCCTTGCTTATATTATAAAGACCACACATTAAAAGGTAGTTTACCGTGAAGTACCAATTGTCTGTACTATTTAGAAATGATCTTTTGATTTCCTTTATGATCTGAAACAGTTTCCTCTCTGTAGACAAGATAGAATATTCTTTGTACCTTTAAATAACTCCCAGACTCAATTATATTCCCCAGCTTTCCTTTGTCCATTTGTTTGTTAGAAGGCTGTAGAATGGATCAACTAAAATCTTGTGGTAACAGTAAGGTGTTCAATTGTTCAAACAAAGCTTGAAATAAACAACTCCATCGTTAGGAAATATTTTAAAATATGGTTACAAGTTAAAGTAGATAAATATCATATTTACCAGAATAGTAAAACACATGAAACAAAGGATATCATTGAGAACAACATTTACTGTTGTAATATTTTAATCTTTTGAAATTGGTACAGTTTTTGGTGTCATTACAAGGGTGTCTGAAAAATTCAGAGTCTAACTAAGAACGGATTAAAAAAGAAAATAATTCTGATATTTGGTCAGATTTTAGGAAGTGGGTTTGGCTGAGAACTTTTCAAAACCCTCTTGTATAAAGAGTAAGCAGTGTCTTATGTGCATTTTATATTCAGACATGATTTTCCCCAAAACAAAAATTGAAAAAGCTACAAATAAACAATATATTATTAAAGCGTTTCACCATTGCTTTTCTTGTATTTAGAAACTTTGTAGTCATATAAACTTTCAGCTTTTTTTTTTTTTTTTTTTAAGAATTACATTCATCCATTCCAACCTTCTTTTTCTTGCTTGATAGCATTAACAATTTCTGGAATAATTCAGTTTAAACCTACTTGACATTTGACCAACTATTGTGTCACTACAAAAATCTCCAAGTCAGAACATTTCTGTTATGAATTTTAAATATACTTTTGGCAATGTTTTTGATAATTTAGTCACTTAGTAAGAATTCTGTTCAAGAAACACATTAATTTGTTTCACCCAATGTACCAAATATCATTTGATTGAGCAATAAATTTTTACACAGTTGAGTATTCTTTAAGTTTCTTTCTTTAATCAGTGAATTTGTTACATTCTAAATCAAGTCTACATTGTATAAAGTATTTGCAGTGAACCTGCATTTTCTTATGGATTTTTTTTTTTTTAATTGGAGATGACAAGGATTAATTGAAATGACTTTTGATATAATTTCTAGCTGCCAAGGGTTTTATACCAAAGTCAGTTCTCAGTGCCTACAAACACGATGGCAAAAAGACAGACACAACAACCATAGTGGATGATAGTGATACTGATGAACAACACATTTATGCCGAGATTATTGACAAAACTGATTGCCTGATGTACCCTGTTGAGAAAAGCATCAAAGAAGAATGGCCACATGTCTATGAACAAACTGTTGAACCAGACACTCAACAAGGGCTTCCTGCTCCTACAGATGAGGTGAGATTCCTTCCTATCCTATCAACCATTTTCTGTCTTTGACTAATCCATTCAATGTCAGGAACACAGATAGTATATTAGTATGTATATATAATTGACTTTTTATAATAATACTTACTAATATCAATATGAATTTCATCGTTAGAATTACTGTTCTTGTGAAACCAGTAATTATTCATTAAAATTATTTAAAAATATTGAAACTATAACTGAGGCAGTTAAGTAAAGGATTGACTGAAGTTAGAATCTCCATGACATTATATTAAGTCCTATGCCATTCTTCACAGTGGACAAAGAAAATGACTTTCAAAATCAGAAAAAATTCTCTTCTCTTTACAGTTTGTCTCATTGTGATACTAAAGATTAGGTAAAAAATCTTCACAATTCAACTTCTTAACACTTAGATATTCTGCTAAATGGTATTAAACATTTTACTGTCTCCAGTTTTATTTCTAATGTTATATACAAACTTTTGCATTATGCTCTCTCAGATGCTTGCTTAACCTTTGAAATTAAGTTTCCAGCACAATTAGAAAAGTTGGTTCCCAAATATTCCAAGTGTCATGATTATGGTAAATATAGAACAAATAGTAAATTTTTTGATAATGAATTAAGTTTTAAATTTTGAGAATATACATAAAAGTTAACATTTTATTGTTAATTATTGATTAATTTATTTTGTTCATTAATTTGTTTAATTTATCTCAAATTTGATTGATTTTAAATAATTTCAGAATCTGAGTTTGTGTTATTTGCTGGAATTTACCATATCTAATAACATAAAGTGCACCCTATTTTAACAAGAATATTCAGAAAAAATATTAGTTTAGTATAGCTATTTAATTTAGCTTAGTTTGACACAAGGTTGGGTGCCCACTGTCAGTGATATCCTAGCTTGTTAATCATTGCTCCATGACAGGCTTACCAATGTTAGTCTATTCTAATCAAGATGAGATATTAGTAAGTGGAATGGTCATAATTTTCAAATATTCTTTCTTTGGTACTAAAAACAGTATATTTCAAAATGACAATGATTCTAGTGAATCACAAAAAGCTAATAATTAAACACCTACAATAAAGGAAGCTTTAGTCTTCAAATCAAAATAAAGCATACATGGAAAGTCTATTCTGTGCATTAATAGTGTGAATGACAACAGGATGATCTCCCTTTGTTACTAGTGTTCTCTCTCTCCTTGCCCTTCTGCTGATTTCTCCAGTATGATTTTAAATGTATATCTGTCTAAACATTTTATTACATTCATTTTATTTGCATGCATGTATTTTGACATTCTCAAAGCAACAATAAAGTAAGTTTAGAGTATTTAGAAATAAAACTAAAAAGGTAAAAATAAACAGAAACACCATATTCATTGCATTATAGGCTTTAATCCACCTTTTAACCATAATGTTCAAATGAATATTGGAAGATTTTTCTTAAATTTACTTCATAAGCAAGTTGATCATTCACAAATAAAGAAAAATATTTTGAACAAAAGTAATGTTAAAATCAGCTATAGTTGCATCAGTAACATCAATAAATCTATATCCCAACATAACAATATTATAATAGACAACAGTTTTTTAAAAAAATAAGTGTAACTACTGAGAAAATATGATCTGTTCCTTAAACAGTCAATGTATGATTGATAATATTGTATATTGAGCTAGCATACATTCCGGTAACAACAAATTTTACTTTGGTTCTACTAAAAATCCTTGGAAATTTTGTTTTTACCATCATTGAATGACTTTAGGCAATATAAAATACTTAAACAGCACTGCTCTCTCGAAACATTTCTGGCAATTAAAGATTGGTGGTAATACACCCATTATTACATGGGATATTGTCACTAAAGCCAATTCTTATATTGTGAAAGGCAATTTGTCTTGTTGAAAAATTATTTATCTTTAAACACATAAGTAACCCTAGCTTATTAAACTAGAGAAATGAACTGATGTAGGCATAAAAATAAATATTTGCTTAAATATGTTAATCTAGATTCATTTTTAATCAAAATTATGTTTTTTGGGGTTTTTTTTTAACAGAATCAGTAATCTCCCTTTATGTTTAATACAAAAAAAAATTAATATTCACAATTCTAAAATAATTATTTTTTTCACACACACACACACAGCACATGAATATTGTGTTGTGCATGAAACTGCGAGTCATGCTACCAGTGAGGGATATGTATATTTATTAATATATACTTAATAGCTCTATTTTATTACATCGAGCACTGTTTTATTAACACCAGCACTATATATGCAATATATATATATATATAGTTTATGCAAAACTAGGTAATCCGTATGGGTAGACCCAAGGAGGATGATATCCGGAGAGCTCAATGTAAATTCATAGCAAATATGTTTGAGTAAAAAACAGACCACTTTAAGGTTCCATGTAATAAATTATTTCACCACAGCCCTTTTAAAGGTGTCTGGATCATCAGACTTTACTTCCAAAGGTTAAAAGGAAAAACTATCTGAAACTATATTAACTGAAAACTATATTAATCTTTTACATGGAACCTTAAAGTGGTCTGTTTTTTATCCAATATATATATATATATATATATATACACACACACACACACACATGTATGTGTATGTATGGACAGCAGTTTTTCATTCCTACAAGTGTGTATAAGACTACCAAAAGTTCATTGTTAAAAATTTTGTTTATTTTTTTTCTATATTTAGGACTGTTTTCCTGGTTTCTGGCACATATTTAAATACTGAATACTCTTGGCTTTCATGATCTAAGTGTTTTTGCTGCTTGTGCTATGTCAGATTCAACATTTTTCAAGTATCACATCTTCACATGTCACTTCATGTTTTTATTTTTTTTCTATTTCTAATGTATATAGTATGTCTCTAAATTTGATAAAATTTTATTGATCTTGAGTTGTTTGTCTTTTATGCTTAATGCTTCTTGTATTTTGTAGTCATTTTTACAGTTAATATCATATAGTATTTTTGTGATTATTGATAAGATTCATTTATATTTAAACTTTCACTGTAAACCAGGAAAATGGACAGAAATATAGAAAAAAAAAACGTTAACAATGAACTTTTGCTGGTCTTTAATCAAGTGTTTTAATATATATATATATATATATATATATATATATATATATATATATATATATATATATATATATATATATAAGTGTGTGTGTATGAATTGGTTTTCATTTCAAAAAGTGAAATATATTCTGAGATTTATCCAGATTTTACAAATTAATGACAAAATGGATACAATTTTTCTTTTCCAGTTGTATATTGCTGAATATCCCTTCAGTTCTGGTGGTCAGAACCAAGTATCATTGTTTGAGGGTCAAGTGGTCACTGTTCTGGCCAAACAAGACATGGAAGCTAACACTGAATGGTGGATGGTCGATGCAGATGGAGAGGTCGGCTATGCTCCAGCAGCCTACCTAACAAAAATTGATGCTACCCCAACGTGATACAGAGACAAGAAGTCAACCCCTGTCATCTGCATGGATCACCTCTTCCACTGACCGAGCTTCCACTTCTTCTTCTTCCTCTTCATTTTTCCTTATCTTCATCTTTTCACAATCAACCTCATTATCATTGTAATTTTCATTGACATTACTTCCAGAAGAAGAAGAAAAAACAAAGAAACCCGCACTTACATAATGCGATTATATTGTTAGCTAATAATTGATTTACTACTCTAGACTAACATTACACACACACACACACACACACACTACAGAATTACTTTGATACAAGATGGTTTGTTAGTTAAAAGATTCTTATATGAAATGTATTTATATATGATCATGATTCTATTCAACTTAGATTTTCAAATAAATTTTAAAAACTTCATTCCCTACAGCTTTTTTATATTGTCCAAATAATCAATATTTAAATATAGAAGATTTTAAATTAGCTATCTTTATTTTTGTTTTCATTATATTTTTTTTTTCTAAAACAAAACAAAAACAAATAGATGAACAAGTTGATATATAATTATTTTTTGAGATGTACTTCCAACTTTATTTAAAAGTCTGCTTGCTTTAACAATTTTTTAGATAATATACAAAGCATAATATATCAGCAAAGACGGCTTCCTTGCATCAGTTATGTGCTGAGAAACACAACAGATTAAAAAAATAAACCATGTCCAACAGTATTGAAAGCTCAAAGAATAAAAAAACAATTGTTTTCATATCTCAAACAAATTCAGTTCAATTAAATGATTTGTCAAAAATTCATTCTCTTCATTAAAGAAAACATCTGAAGATATATATATATATATATATATATATATATATAAGATTTTAGCTGCTACTAAAATAGAACAAAATTATATGGCTATGTTTTTGTTTTTTCTTTAAATACTTTCCATTGTGTATCAAAATTTATAAAAATGCTGAGATCGTCTTCTTGAAAATGGGCACAGGAGATTTCTGTGTTCTAACAGAAGATCCTTGCACACCAAACTTTAAAGGCCTTGTCAGAAATCCTTTTAAATTTATCATTCGTTTTTTTTTTTCTCTCCTGAGATTTTATTAAAAGGTCTTCTTTTTTTCATACCACAGACATTCCTGTTTGTGGTTAAAAATAAACAAACTGCAATGTAGCACTTTCATTTTCCTCTTTTGTTATTAATAGCAGAAAATCCCAATTCTCTTCTCAGCCCTCAAAACCTCATTTAGATTGAATTAGTTAAATGAACAAACCTTTTGTAAATAAATTACCCAACATTCTTAGACGTGAACATCTTTTAAAATGGCTTCTTCCAAATGTCATCACACAGTATTTCTTTCTTATCAAGAATTTTTGGACAAGTATGAGGGCAATATCGCGTGAAATGCTGAAACATTGATCAGTTTTGTGATTTTAAAAATGGCAATTATATGTACAAAATAAGTCTACCTGCTTACATATTGCACTACATTGTTATTTCTTTAGAGTTTAGAAGAGTTTTTGAAGCAACTCAATTGATGTGCTATCTTACTCTTAACTCAATACCCTAAAATATTGTGCAATATTGATTTACTTAGACTAGGCCAAGCTTGGAACAAGGCCATGTTAATCGATCAATCTAACTCATACTCCATGTTTTGTACACCCTGTACATTTTTTATTCTGGTATGAGTGATTGAATGCATTTATTAAAAGTAGTCTGGCCTAAGGCCACTTTTTATGAAATATCAAGTGAATATTGAACTCATTATCAATGGCTTGTGAGATCTATTCACTAACCACATGGTAAGTATATTATTATTATACTCCGTATATTATTATTATTATTATTATTATGATTCAATATTAGAATTTTTGAGTTAGTTCCTCCATTATCAATATTATTGTTCAATATTATTTATTTAGGTTGCTTTGTTAGGTGCTTGGAAATTAACTAGCAAGCAAATATTGCACAATATTTGTACTCTTTTGTGCAATATCAGTCTCTAAAATGTCTCCTATGCAATTAATGTAATTAATAAAATTCAACTGTTTTGATGCATTGATTCAGAAAGTAGTCTTAGAATTTTAGAACTCTGTGCAAAAGATAAAAATTTTGAGTCTGGCTTTTTTTATTTTTAATGCATTCGGATGAATTTTTTTATTATTAAATACTGGACAATATTTTATCAATTTCAGATTTTAAAAAAAAAAAAAAATTTCTGACAAATCATTAGGTAATTATTTTTAAATTTTTGGATTTCTTCAATTTATTGTGCAAGTACATAAATACCTTTTTTAAGTAATATATTAATAATATTGTGCAATATTTTATATTGAACAATAATATTGTATACACTGGAGCCACTTTTGTCCTTTATTGAGTTTTATTGTCCTAACATTATATCCATAGGAAAAAGAAAATTGATCAAAACTCCAACCACAAGATCAAGGCCATGTGTTTCAACCTTTTATTCCCATATTCTCAGCATATTTAATCTTTCCATGACATATCGATTACTTTTTTTTGTCACTGACAATTCTAAATGTTTCAATTTCTATTAATTCTGTCATGTTCTATTTTTTTTCTCTAATTTTGTCGCCCATTCAACCATTTTAAACCCTGCATATCCAAGTCTCCCTGCAAACCTCAAAAAAATGGATGGATCTGTTACCCCCTCACAATTAAAATTTTAAAAATAATGAAAAAAAAATTTTAAATGTTTTTTACTTTTGATTTTTTTTCTGTAAATCTTTTTATACTTAAAAAGAAAATTAAAACGTAACACAGTATTTTCTTTACAACTATAAATAAAGACACTTTGACATTGTAAATCTTTTGAATTTTTTTTCCTTGCTATTTTTTCTTTATCTTCTATTTTTCTTTTTTGCTCTTTGAAAAGAATTTTTACAATTATTTTTTTTTTTTTAAATAAACAATTTTTATAGAATTTTCTAATTTAAGAAAAATGTCAACCCAACATGCCTGCTTCCAATGTTTGTTTTTTTTTTTGTTTTTTTTTTTCTTAACAAAAGCCACAATTATTGTAAAACCAAAATGGCTGACGAACCAAACATTTTTTTTTTTTTATTCTTGTCGTTGTTCCTTCCATATAAGTGCAGAAGTGGTTTGTGCTAAAGTTTTGCAGATTATAGTCTGCTGGTTTCATTCCTTTTTACACTTTTTCCTCATATCTAAATTCTAAAATCTCTCTTTTTATGAACAGAACAATTTATATTTTCCTATTTTTTTTAACTTCTCATAGCAACATATAGATTTCTTTTTTATATCTCTTGCCATTTATTTTATCAATGCAGCATATGTAAACAAATGTTGCACATACTAAAAGATGCAATATATTGCTTTTGATATAAAAGAACTCTCTCTTCTAAAATATTATTTACTTAGCATATTTAATTGCCAGTGGTTTCTCTTTCCAAGAAACATTGCTAGCATATAACAAAAATGCAATGTACTCATACCCCTCACACTCATGCAGCAAGCGATTGCATATTTTCAAACTGTTTCTAATTCAAAATACATACAACATATAAAGAAACTTTTCTCAATGTCTTTTATTGACCAGTTGTTGATTTTCTTATTTAGTGTACCATGTTAAAGTAATCGGCAACAAATTAAGTCTCTTTATTATGCAATGATTTCTAAATAATTTTTCAGTTGTTTTTATGATCAAAATATTAATATATTGTTATGACATGAATGCAGACATGTCAATATTTTTAAAAAGTTAGCCACAATGTAAATGAGATATTTAATAATCAGAAATATTTTTTTAAAGGCTCTGCATTGCTGTGTGTTACAGGAATTTTACTCTTATTAATAAATTGAATATTTATTTAGTATGTCATTTTAAAATTACTTTTTGGAAGCATTGCTTAAGTTGAAAAAAATTATTGAATAAAAATTAAAAGATTTGATATAAGTATGCTTTAAAATTCCGTCTTAATTTTCTAAAGAAATTGCATAAATATACTTTCTGTGTCAGGTTCCAGAGAGGAAATAATTTAAAAATATTCATTGATTAACTTTGAGCATATTTCAGGTACAAAAAGTATGGAATGTATGTCCCGACAGGATGGCTTTTAATTTCTCCTAATCCTGTTTATCTGTGGCAGTATAAATCTGAATGGTGACACATAGGCTCAAGTAATCAATGGTATTGTATGACGATGTCCACAAAATGTCAAGTAAAACAAAGGAAAAACAAGGGTGCGGTTAAGGCTAAGCTTACATTTTATGTTGAATTCAAGGAAAGGTAGAAAAACACACCAACATTATTTTTCCTCAGAATTTCTATAAATACTGACACAGAATAAAATTTATTGAGCTTAAAAATTACTACAGTTATTTAAGAATCACTAAAGATGCCCTTTACTTCTGAAAAACGTTCTGTTTCTTCAAGCCAAAAGTATTAATGTCAATACTTTGAGGATTTACCAGAGAATTTTTAATTTCTCTTTTATCAAGTTTTTTTTTTTTGTCCTTAGTCAAAATGCATTCTATCAGCAAGATAGGCTTGTATTTTACATATCAAAATTTTCAAACCATATACAATTTAAAGAAGGACCATATGAACATCATTTCTTTAAAAAAAAAAAAAAAATTATGGAAGCATTATTTTTGTTTGTCCCATTTTAATTTTCGATTATTATATCTGAATTTAAAATTTATGTAAAAAATGCAGTTTTATTGAACAAAAACTTACTAGGATAATCCCAGGGCCAGATTATCCTTTAGGCTAGTATAGACTGCAGGCCAGGGCCAGATTATCCTTTAGGTTAATGCAGGCAGAAGCAATAGACTAGGATGCACTTCTCAAGCTTTTGTAAAGCAATGATTTTAATTTTCTAGATGTTATAATTTCTAAACAATTTCATAAAGTGAAATTATATCAAGATGACAAACTGATATTTATTTGAATTTTCAAGAAGCAAAGCAAGGAAAAGAATGTTTTAGTTTGTGTCATTGTTTCAAAGAGATAACATGTTGGATTTTAGTTCAGAATGTTTA